AGATTATCATTTTTTACAATGTTTTAAGACTTTGAAGTTCAGAAATTAATATCGAAACCTACTTTTGCTTAAAGTTAGACGAATAGAAGAGAAATATCCTTTATTGTTCCACCTCCGGGAAATTCAGGTGTATCTGCAGCAAGTTACAGGTTAACAAAAAACAACAGCAAGAATAAATTTACAACATAGACAAATAATAACTGAACATTTTAAAAAGAAAGTAAATGAGTGTATTTGTGTATCAAAAGCAGCAACAAACTATTTACAAAAAATGCGCAGGAATTTTATTTGAAGTGAAACTACAATCAACAGGAGAGACGTAAACACTAATCGATGCTCCAATGAAGGAGGAATTTAACTATTTAATCAATTTTCTAGCTACAAAACAATCCCAAATTAAGTCACAACATCTGAAAAAGATACTGATTAAGTAATATTTAATCTCCATGAGACGCATAAATTTATCTTTATGGGTTAAATCCAGCATGGCTTTAGTCAAACGCTCCAACTAAATGGTCTTATCTGTTTCAAAATATATTAAATCTGAAGCCTAATAAGTTAGACTAGAGAAAGGAGGCCAACATCATTCCTGCATGTCATTCTGCAGACGGAGAACCTGCTGATTAAGAGGTCAGTGTGTTATCACAGAAAACATTCATGTAAGCCTCTGCGTTGCTTCACAGCTGCAGCGGTTTCACAAAATTCAGAGCTGATCTGTCCATCTGCTCTTATATGCATTTAAATTAAGATCCAATTATACCATAGTGCTGCAGTTTTGCTTGACTTTAGAAGCACGAAGGATATTTTGATAACACATTTAAATGATTGCGATAAACGATAATGTTGTTTTGAGACCATTTTTAACTTTGCAAAAATATAAAATCTTTCCAATTGTTTTTCAGTGCAAATATCTTACTTCACTTAAACATACAAGTAACATTTCAGTAAGATATACTAAATGGTTTAAGTAAATAAATCAATATGTAAAAGTGCCAGACACACTGGCAGATAAATCCACTTATAAGACATTTTTTCCTTACAATCTAGCACATTTTCACCAACGTTAAGGATTTACTGACTTAAAACAAGCTCCAACATCTTGCCAAAAGGTTTCTTCTAAGTCTTATTTCAAGTGGACGAAGATATTTACACTGAAAACCAGACACAAATACTTGGTAAAATGTTTTTGCAGTAAAATGCAATATTTTCTAAAGAACACTCCACACAATGGAAGATATTTTAATTATTGTTACTTGTGGCTCAAGGTCATAATGAAACAGGAGACCATACAGTGGTTAAAGTGCATAAAAAGGAATATTTATTAACAAAAACAACAATGGATTGTGGATGTCAGTATCAGTGGCATATGAGTGCATATGGAAGTGTTGAAGTGCAAAAACAAAGACAAACTCAAATGTGCTAAAGGAAGGAAGCTGCTAAAGGAAGGAAGCTGAGGCCTGGCAACAAAACACCGCAAGCATCAAGCGGCAGAATGGACACCGAAGGCGACCCAGAAGGTGGAGACGGCCAGGTTTAAATGCTCTGTGCTCCAAATTAACAAGTCAGCTGCACCTGTAAAGGGGAGCAGCACAAAGACGGACAACAAGACACCTAGCAGCCAGCCCACAAGGCCCAGGGCCATAACAATTATCCAAAATAAAGCAACCCCAAACAACAAATTAAATAGACCACACCAAAATGTGCTAAGACTCTGCAAACAGGATTATCCTTCTAAAAATATTAGTCATCAAGCTCATTTTAGTTTATCATGCAATTAATTGCTTAATTGCTTGTTCATTGCTACAGGTTTAGTCACGCATCGCATCATCGGCCACAGGCCTCAGCATCAGTTCAGCTTCTTGTTTTCCCGAAGAAGCAGAAAACAGTTCGTACACAGAAACGCTGTGTGAATTGTCTCAGTGTTCTTGTATGAAGGAAACTAAAGTTGGGCAATGCTGTAATTCTGGCAGAAGTAACCCAAAGCTGCACTGCCTTAAATGGGAAACAGAGCCGGGAGACCTGTGCTTTACTACAGCCTGGTTCTGATTAAGACCAGACTGATCTGCTTGTTCTTGGTGCAGAGCCACAGCCAGTTCCTGTACGGGGACAAGGCTGTTAACATCATGGTGTGAGAGCGCCTACGTTGGTCCGTTGGCCTGTCAGAATTTTATATCAGCTCTCAGTTTTATCGGCTCCTGAGGGGCTGATGACCACGCTAACCATAACCTCACAGAAATACCAGGTCACTCATATTGCTGAGAGTTTGTAAAACTCACATTGGGTATCCATTTGCAGAAATGCACCACTCCCAGTCAAAAACAACCTTGTGTACATGTTCCTCAATGTGCTAATGGTGGAGAAAAAAACTCACCGTTCCAGGAAAACTGATTATTTCCCATTATCTATGCTAACCTACCATAACAAAGCAGGCTCTGTTATCAGGAAAACACAGAGGTTCTGAACGGCACCTGTACAAGAGTGATTGACAACATACAGTAGCTTTAAACATGTTTGTATTTTGTAACATTACATCATATAAACTTTAGTGTATTTTTTGTACTGTAAAGCAAAATAACAATTACAAATTGTTTAATAATTCTTTACAAATAAAATCTAAAATCCAATCAGCCACACCTTTGATACGCCTCAGTAAAATGTAGCAATGGATGCATGGCAACTCTGGAGGAGCAACAGAGATCAGATAGGAGAATCTGTAAACTTAAAGCTGCGGTATGTAACTTTTATAAAAAATATGTTTTTATATATTTGTTAAAACTGTTGTGACAGTTTGATATGAGACAAATAATCTGAAAAGTTCAATCTCCTCCTTGCCTCTGCACTACTACCTTTGTCTGAGGAAATTAACCAATCAGAGCCAGGAGGGGTCTTAGCGCTGACAATCATTGCCTATCAATGTGCTAATAGTGGAGAAACAATCGACTGATACAGAAAAACAGTAATCAATGGTCATGCTAACTAGCCTAGCATTCACGACAGGCTTTGCGAACTGCTGCGAAGCAGATAGCAAAGACAGGAGGGTTGATTGTGATTGACAGCGCTGAGACCCGCCTCTTTGCTCTGATTGGTTGTTCGTAGTTAACACTGGGAAAAAGCGGAAGAGCTCATCTTTTTCACAGATTTCTATAAATACCATCGTGTCACATTTATTTTAATTTAAGTTTATTTGAGAGGTACCGACCTAAATTGACATAGACAAACTAACCAAACAGCAGTCCCATGTTTGTGTCATAGTGCAATAGCAACAGCTAATTCGCAGCACTTGTCCCGAGATGGGGCTTTAAAAATAGTACTTCTAAAAAATGTAAATAATCATTTAAAATAGGACAACATATTGTTGACATCTACAAACAAACAGTGGTGACAGTGTCAACAAATACGTAAAAAAATGATTTTTTTAATGAAAGTCACATGCAGCTTTAGCCAAAACACATCCCATGGCGGTGGCAGCATCATGCTGCGGGGCGGATTTCCTTCAGAAGGTAAGTGGATTCCCCACTGATGCTGTTAGCTAAAGGATCTCAGTCTGTGTGAATGATTTGTTCACTCTGACATATTTACGACCACAGGAAGAACTTCATGTGATCTTCCTGATGTTTATTTATTTAGCAGCATCATCATGTCAAATTCCCACTTTGTTCTCCTCTTTTCTGCTTTACTCCAGCTGGACTGAGTGATGAGTCATTAAATTAAAAACCCTGAAAAAGACAAATGTTTTGCTTCAAGGTTATGTTGTAATTGTGAAAATGTTTGCTTGGTGGTAGTTAACTCCAACAGCAACTTCACTGAAATGAAACGTCAGAGCTGAAATGTTTCCTCTAACGGGGATACGTCGTACTTGTGAGGGATTAGGAAGTAGATTTATCAGAATGAAACACTGTGCTAGCTCGCCATAGCAAGATTAATGAAAGCCACTCATCTGTGAAGTTGGGTCAAACAGATGTGTCCTGTTTTCAAAAGCAGGGAGGAAATCAGCAACAACTGGACTAAAGCAGTCAGCAATTCCCTCAGATTTAATGTCACCACATTTTGATATTAGATAATTTAATAGCAGGTTTGCTCTGTGGGACTTTAGGATTACATATAGTTGAAGTTTTTTTTCTGAATCCATAAAATTAATAAACATTTTAATAATTGTTTGTATATTTTCACCTTTTCAGTTAAATTTTTAATGTTAGTTATTTACACCAGTAACTCGTAGACAACTATTAAAAATGCAATTTTGAGAAAAATTACAAAACCTATTAAAAAGGTTTTGAAATTTCCAATCTAAGTTCAGGAAAGAGATGTTTCTCTGCTGCCATCTTCTGGAATGGTGGCAGATTTTCTAACCAGAAAGCAAACAGTTTTGTTTTGTTTTTGACATTGCATTTTTTAGTTACCTGGGTTTTGTGAGGAGTCGTTTAATTAACTTTTGGAATTTGCTAATTAGCAAAGGAAGTTATGAGATTTAATTTAAACTCCTTGGAAAAGAGACTTGAACATATATATTTATACTTGCAAACTTAACACTTTTGACAAGAATTCAGATATCTGAGAAATTTGAGTCTAGAGAAGTTAAAGTAAAAGTTTTGACATAAAAATTGTTTTGACTCAAGACTATTTAAAAATTCAAAGTAGATATTTCAAGAGGCTCATGAAAACCCAGTAATACAGACTAAGAATTATTACATTACCATGTTGATATTTTAAAAGCAGGAAAGTGCAATAACGTTTTAAATATACAGTTGTTTCAGACGGATTAAATGTATCGCAGAAGAACGTTTTTCTGTTTTTTATAGCATTTATCTGCATTGTGGCTGTTTTCCTGCTGCACGTCGCTCCCTTTCCATCAGGTGGCGGTAGTGCATAAAACCGTCATTTATTAAACCAAGAAGTAAATCGACGTTAGAAGCATGGAGACTCGCTGCAACTGAGGATTCTTGACCTTTCCAACTTAATACCCTAATCTGGTTTCAGTGAGTTCATTCCTGTACATTTTAGCCTTTTCGGTCAGTCTTAATCATATCAAAGTCTTGTTTTTTCCCACTGACTCTTGAAAAATGATCGTATCTGGGATGCTAAAGCTAACATGAAGCCAAGATCATCTTTTATTGTTGATTATGAGACAGGTTTATGTAAGCTTCTACAGTAGGTTTACGACGGTAAATATTTAACTTTTAGGCGTCTCCTTCACAAAATGTCACTTAATATGTTTTTACGTCCCTAATGTATTTTATTTATTTTATATAATTTCCATTTGTTTTTCTTTCCGGGGTCAGGAAGGCCAAGCAGGATGTCAGGGAAAAAGGTTGTAGTCCATGCCAAATGGGTCATCGGTAAAGTAATCGGGACCAAGATGCGGAAAACTGCTAAAGTGAGAGTGACAAGACTGGTGCTGGACCCCTACCTGCTGAAGGTGAATCTGCAGAGAATGTCTGTGGATGATTCCTGAGTGAGAAAAAAAACAAACAGGTGTTCTGTGTTATACAAGAACTTTAAATCTTGTATAACACACTATTTATGTTCTGATATTAATTAAATCAGCACATAAATAGTGTTAGATCCTAAGTGTTGGATGTATCATTTGTCATTCACTTCTGTTTGGAGGAAGTAAACTGAACATGAATCTGTATTGTAGTTATATTGGCCTGAAACATGTATTTACATCTGGATTGATCAGGTTTTCTTACCTGCCAATTTCAGTTTTCACCTAGAAGCTTTTTTTAATTGGAAGTACATAAATTGGTATTTTGAAATTTTTTCAAAGTATTTCAACCAGTAGCCAGTATTTGATGATTAATTATAACTTCCTTCCAAGTTTAATTGCAAAATAATGTTATTTCATTGAACTCCCTTGCAACCACTGCATATTGAATATGTAGTACTTCATAAATTTCTCTAAACAGAATATGTGTTTATCATTATGCATTTAGAGTTAACTAAGTGCATTTTTTCGCTTCCTTTTTAGTTTTACAACAAGAGGAAAACCTACTTTGCCCATGATGCTTTGGAGCAGTGCACTGTGGGAGATATCATCCTCATCAAGGCTCTGCCTGTGGCAAGATCCAAACATGTGAAGCATGAACTTTCTGAGATCGTTTACAAAGTGGGCCGGGTGGTGGATCCGCTGACGGGAAAAAGTGTTGCAGGAACAGAGTTTGTGAAGCCTCTGTCTGACCTGCTTCTAGAAGAGAAGATTTCTCTGTCGGATAAACTCAAAGAGCTAAACATCTCAGCTGCAGCTGATTCTCCGTCTGTACAAACTCCGACTTCATGATAGAAAACTGTTTTCTTACATGCCGTTCTGTGATGTGATTTTTGTTTCAAGAGTCAATAAAAAATATAAATATGTAACCATTATGGGGTCCACAGAAGCCTGACTGTAATATTACTTTATAAATATAAATTGGATTATTTTGCCATGAAAATACGTTCATGCTTTGTGATGTCCTCTGGGTTTCTGGGAGAAATTAAAAATCTAAATTTTAGTACTTAAAAGACTTAAATGTGCCAAGATTTTAAATAAAACAACAATTGAACTAAAGGCAAAAATGCCTCTTTGGATTGTGAAGTTTGCAGATGTTCAATGTTTTTTAATGCACTGATTCTCAAAACGTCCAGTTTTCAGAAGAAAATGTCAGTGACTGTTGAGTTATGAAATGGTACTGTAGCAATGCAATCACCAGCAAATATATTCACCAATATGTGGCTTTGATTTATCAAAATCCTTCTTTTTAAAAATCTTTTACACTAAATAATGGATGTGCTTTTAAATGTTTATTTTTGGTATTAAGGTTATCTTCTCAAGAGGATCTCCTTTTACATTTTTGAAATGCCAATTTGGGAACTATTGTAATGTACTGAAAACTTTGGTGTGGCTGATTCATATAAAATATGCACTATAAAACATATAGCACTATAGCACTGCGCTGCAAAAACACAATATCTTATCGAATATTTTTGGTGTAGTTTCTTGACAAAACTGAAATAAGTAACTTAACTTGCAAGTAACTTTTCAGCAAGAAACGAGCATATTTTGAGTAAATTATTTCTTAATGTTGATGAAAAAGTACATATTCAAATAAATTCACTTATATTTTTTCATGTAATGGTGAAATGATCTGCCAATTGAACAAGTACTTTTTCCATCAATATTAAGGAATTATTAAAAACTAGATCAAAGTACAAAAGTCGGCCGAAAAGATAAAACTTTCACTTCGTCCACCATGAACAGAATGATTTTGCAGTTTAACAGCTGTAAACATGTGATCCCTGTGTTTGTAAAGTCTTTCATCCTCCACATTGTTCTCCAGCGTCACGTTCTCCAGTCAGCTGCCCAGTAAACAGCCCGGACTGTAGCTCTGCTGCAGCCGCTCCTGCAGCCTCCGACTGCCTTCAGGGAAACATGGCGAGCAGAGTCCTTCACAGAGGGGCCACCGGCCTGCACTGGAGGACAGCCGGACTTCAAGCTAAACTCCCGGCAGCCATCGCCGCCAGGTCAGAGTTAGCCAGATGCTACCTGCTGATTCTGAGAGGTTTCTGCAAAAAGTTAGCTTGGTTTTAGGAAAAGTTTACACTTAATGACAAACTCTGGGATGCTAGGTGGCTAAGCTAACATAGGGACGTTGGTGCCTACGCACCGTAGCTAGCATTAGCCGCTTGGCATTAGCGCTGAACTTGCTAACTTTCTGCTAATTATGACCCCGTTGAAAAGTTAAAAGTTCGGAGCATGGTGCCGTTTGTAATTACATCTGCGAACATGGAGCTGTGCTTTATAGCTAATTACGCAAAATAAAGTTTGAAGTCATGCTGTTCCTCCCAAAATGATTTAACTTCAAGGTCAAAACAGCAAGAGTTCAGTTTTACAAGGCTTTCCTCTCTTAAAATATTGTTTCTAGTTGATTTATTCATGAATATTTACAATAACCTACATGTTGACTGTCTTTGAACGAATAACATTATCGAAGAATATCAGTGCAATGGTGGTATTTATATTGAATCATATTTACATATAAATACATTAGTTTTCTAATAAAACTCATTGCAGTCACGGGAACAAAGTTTTAAACAGTGGTTTAAAATATGCATACAAATTAGTTGTTTTTTTCACCTTGTCAGTTTGCCATGTCACTTTATTTTGTTTTAAATATTGATGTGTCAGATCATGTTGAGCTGCCATTATCAGCAAATAATAAAACCTTGCATTCCTTTCCATATTACAGAGGTTTTATCTGACATTTAAAAATAAACAAAATTCTAATTTGTGATTGTTATATGAGAAAAATGTTTTAAAAAAGTCCAAAGGGTGTCAATATTTTTTTAAAGTTGTGCAGTCTTCAATTCTTAGTTTATAGTAATAGTTAATAGTGAAACTTGCACAGAATATAATCCTAATTCGTTGAAAGACATGCTCTTAATCTATATTATTAAAATTAGTTGGATGCTGAGGTTGAAGTGATCAGAGGATAAAAACAGTAAGTCTATTTATGACTTTAAAGGGTCTGATTGGATTCAGTATAAGAGCTTTTTGGTTTTTAAGCTGATTTTTAATACTGTGCAGCAGAAAAATGCTTAATTTTATTTATTTATTTTTCTTTGCAGGGATTTCTCGGGACTCAAATCTCTTTTTGTGAGAAAAGTTGACCCCAGAAAAGATGCCCACTCTCATCTACTATCCAAGAAAGAAGACAACAATCTCTACAAAATACAATGTACGCATTATGGCATTATTTCCTCTATAGTAATTTTATGAAATGTAAAGTTTTCATGTTGTCATTTTCACTGTTTGTCCATTTCTTGTTTAATTTTTTTCCCCTCAACAGTTCATAACGTTAAACCAGAGTGCCTTGATGCTTACAATGAACTTTGGTAAGAAAAGTTAATTTAATCTCTCTCTGTTAATCTCAGGTTTAGTACATTCCTGCACATTTCTGTCTGTTTTTGTCCCCAGTGAAAAAGTGCTACCCTCCATCCACGCTGATCCTGAATACCCCTGTGAGCTGGTGGGCACCTGGAACACCTGGTACGGCGAGCAGGATCAGGCAGGTAAGAGGCTGCAGCATCTCACACACTTAATCAGGCCTCTACTTTCATTTACTTAGCTGTCTAGATTAACTGCTTTTCAGTTAGAAATCCCAGTGAAAGTAAGACAATGATGGTAAAGTTGATAAATAATTAATCTACACTAATTTATTACAAACATTAATATTTAACTATTAAGTTGTCTGAGTATTGTTAAACATTTGAGGTCTTGAAATGCTGAGTTAGCTGCATAATCAACCATCCTTGTTGAAATCATGTGAAACATTTTTGGCAATATGAGTTTTGTGCATCAACTGCTTTCATAACAAGCCGTTGATAAAATTATAAGCCAATGTTTACATTTCAGTTGATAGTTAGATTATGATTGTCAAATAATTCAGCCAACAGGATATAAACTGTACAGCAGATGTGAGAGATTGTCATCACAAATCCTCAGTTTGTTGCTTATACGTAAAAAAAAGTATATGTCTACTGGAGTAAAATGTCTTTTGAATATTGCTTTTCCGAGTACAAAAATAAGGCAAATTTAACGTATGTTATTTAAAAACTAAATGTATTTTGAAGCTCTAAAAATAGGTGTTTTTTTGTTGTAGTTTTCAGGTGTTGAATCAAAGTGCCTTTCAATATTATTCAAATCGCTTGAATATTTACAAATTTTTGTCACATCACAACCACAAACTTTATGTATTTTGGGAGGATTTTAAATGACAAAGTAAAATGGAGTGTAATGGTGCGTTCACACCACATGCGTTTCACCCGTCAAAAACTTGCCCAACACTTCAAGTTTGACGCATTTGCAGTTTGATATTTTGCTCTAGACGAGCATCAGACGCATCAAAATCTCTGTAGGCGCCGTTGAGAGGAAACACTGTGGCATGCGGCTCCTTCAAACTTCCATTGTCTTCTTCATGTCTCGTCTAAATAAATATGTTTATTTAACGTGACTCAGTGTTTTTGCTGGACGGATCTGTATAGCTCATATCCGGGGCAAATATTTTCAAATAGTAAAAGGTATAACTTACTCGACATTCCAACTTTCTCGCTGATCCTTTTTGCAAACGAGGTCCTTTCTATTTCTGTCTCTAGTTGTAACTTGATTGTTCGTAGATTATAGGATGAGAACAAACGCCGACAATTAGTTTATCCTCCATTATTTTAGTTTATTCTGAGATTATGTCGGAAAATGTCCCACTATAGGCTGGTTTACGTCCCATGAAAGTTCAGATTTTTCAACTCCAGCTTTGGACGCATCAAACGCTCGGGGGGAAAAAAGTGGGAAAATGTTTGTAATGTGACAAATGGAATAAGTTGAACACGTGTAAATACTTTTGATAGTTGAGGAGTTTCTCTCCTGACACAAACCAGCTGTCACAGCTATTTTAGTCAACGACCAGCTATGTCTGTCCTGCTGTTTTCCTGGCTGTTGTCCATTTTGTGTTATGATTATATATTTTATTTATTTTGTTCCTCCTGAACTTTAATCTGACTCTGTAATATGAACAGAAGTGGAAAGGATGCAGAAGTTAAACATAAACCATATGTGAACATTAAAATCCCTTAATTGGGAAAAATAAAGAGGAATGGCAACGACCTTTGGATTTTTTTGTAGCATTTATCTGCATTGTGGTTGTTTTAAATCTGAAGCTGGTTATTTTACAGCTTTATTTTTAAGGATTTGTGTTAATGAGATGAAACTAGAACTGACTGCAGTTTGGCCCGGAGGAAAACATTTTCCAGAGCTGCATTATTTCTGGCTCTTCTGCTCCTTCTATTCTAGTTCACCTTTGGAGATATCGGGGAGGATACCCGGCTCTCACCGAAGTCATGAACAAACTCAGGGGGAATAAGGTAACAGGGATTAGTTCAGCTCTCTGAACGTTGCTGACCTAAAGGCCACAAAAACAGCCGCAGACCAGGTTTTAGTGTCTCTGTGGCTCTCCAGCTGTTTCCCATTTAGCTAAATGAAAAGGATATTTACAGAGTTAGAGAATCAGCCGTATGCTGAATGTTTGGTAAGTATAGTAGAGTCAGCCTCTCTGTTACTCATGTTGTGGTTACTCTCCAAAAATAGAAACATAGGTATGCACCGATGAAGACCTTTAATACAAGAACTTTGGATGCACCAATAAGTCAGCCTTGATGTCCTTCCTTTTAGGAACTTGGTGATCAGATCTAAAAATCAACCACTAGCTTATTCTGCTCTGCTGTGTTGAAGGTTTATCTAAAAGGTCACGTCTGCAATTTACAATAATCACTGTTACCAACTTTGCAACTTTCTTGCTATATTTAGCATCATTTCAGACCAAAGGAATCAGAATCGGCCAAAATCGGAATCAGCAGATCAGGGTTTTTAAAGATTGGTAATCGACAATTGGAGACAAAAAGCTGCAATCGGTGAACAACTACTTATTACTGAAAATACATTTGTTAAATTGAACCCAAAAGAAACTGAAAACAAGATGCTTTTCTTTAAATAAAGCAAACGTGGAAAATCTACTACAGCGTATAAAGGCGACTGTAGAACAACAAAAATGTCGTAAATTTTAATTTCTGTCAAAAATACTCAAATTTTGAGAGTAATCAACATGTCAAAAGTCAGCCAAAATCGGAAATGACCCATGAAGCTTTTTAAAGATTGGTATCGACAAGAAAACTGCAATCGGTGCATCCCTAATAGGAACATTAAGGAATATAATTTATTTGTGATTTTTATTTAATTGTAATATAATTACTGTTGCTGTTTTTTAAATTATAATATTAAAATTGTTTTTATTTCTGAACTGATTTTAAATGAATTATCCACACATTTTCTAAAACAGATTATTAATGATTTTAAATAATGAATGCAGTTATTTCCATGTTTTCTCATATCACACCTGCCTTGATTCTCTTGCCTAAAAATCTCCATTCACTTTAGCAGAAATAGGCTGCAGTCGACTCTGTTTTGATCATTTCAGATGCTCAGCTGGGGGTTTACTGAGTGACGGTTTTGTCTTTATTTGTCCTGGCTGTAGGGGTTTATGAACTACAGGGATGAGAGGGGAAAAATGCTGTTGTCTCGTAGGAATCAGCTGCTGCTGGAGTTCAGCTTCTGGAACGAACCAGTCCCTCGTCCAGGACCAAACATCTACGAACTCCGGTCATACCAGCTCAGAGTAAGACTCTGTTTTTACCTTCATTTTGCTTTAAACATCGTTTTCAACCAGAGTGAAAACCTAAATAAACGCTGTCCGTTTTCCAGCCTGGGACAATGATCGAGTGGGGAAATTACTGGTAAGAAAACCTCTTTGTTAATTTTTACTGCACAAATAGTAAGTAACAAACATAATGCATCAGAAAAATTAGGAGAGATGGGTATTCATTTTAAATATATTTTTTGACTTGATCCTTTTTCTTTTTTTTTTTAGCATTTTTGAATTATTTTGATTATTTGTTAAACATTTGATTAGGGATGCACGATATATCAGGACCAACATCGGTATCGGCCGATTATTTTTTTACATATTGGTATCGGTCCTATTAATAACCGATAGTTATTTCTATCTGTTGCTGGTTGTTTTTTTCCCAAAGGTGTTGAAACTGTAGTGAAATGTATATAATATTGGTAAATACCAATTATATATCAGAAATATTAACATTGGCTGTTGATTGGCCCAAATTGTCATATCGGTGCATCTTTATATTAGATATAATAAATCTTGCCTTTTTTGATGAATGATTACAATTTCATAATTAAGAGGCATTTGTTTCTCAGTGAAGCAAAAATATTGCAATGATTTAATCCTCAAACTGCAAATATTTAGTTGACAGTACTGATTTATGTTTACGTGTTTTGATGCTCTGCAGGGCTCGGGCAATTGAGATTCGCCAGCAGAACCAGGAGGCTGTGGGAGGTTTTTTCTCACAGATTGGAAGTCTTTACCAAGTCCATCACTTATGGGGTGAGGAGATTTTCCTGCTGTTATTAATATGGTTAAAATCTCTTCATTTTCCACCAAGAGCCTGTGATTTTAAGGAATAAACACAATTGTGTTATATAATTGAGAACTTCAGTTTAAACTTCATAAATGTTTTCTCAGAATAACTTTAGCTTGAAGCTGTGAGCTGATTTAGATACTCAGCAAATGAATAAATATGTTTTTGTTTCAATTAGCTTACAAAGATCTTCAGACCAGAGATAAAATTAGAAATGCAGCCTGGAACCGGGATGGTTGGGATGAGGTCGTTTATTACACAGGTAAGCTTGAATTGATGTCCAAACTTTATTCTAAGTATTGTTAATGTTGTGATTAAATTGAAATTACATTATTTTCTGTAATTATATGTCTTTTAAGACAGATTGAACAAATCCAGCAACCTTACAGATCAGTGTTTCTAAACCTTTTCAGGCCGAGGGCCTTTTTAACAAACACTCACAGACCACCTAATAACAAAACATCATAATATATACAACTTGAAATTGAAGTAAAAGTCTTTTAACTCGTTGTCTTTGTTCGAAATAAAATACATAAATGTGAAAGATCTGTATGCTGGTGGCATGCTATCATGCATCATAATCATGTTTAAAAAATAAATAAAAAAGTTAAAGTTCAACTGTAACTCACCCTGATACATTTTCCACCGCTATCTTTAGGTTTTCTCTTTAGTGACCGGCTTTAAGCCGTTATTATTTTTAAACAATCCTTTGGTAAGCTAGCTGCGGCGTCGCACTTTGAGCTAACGTAACGGCAAATTAACGGTTGTCTACATGCAGTACCTCACGGACCGCTAGAGGGCGCCCACGGACCACAGTCATATATCTGTATATTGTTGATCAAGAATGCATAGGTTATTGATTTATTAGCCAAATGAAAGCTAAATCTTTTTTTGTCCTTACAGTCCCTCTTATTCAGCACATGGAGTCCAGAATAATGATTCCCATGAAGACTTCGCCCCTAAAGTAACCGCAGACTGAAGCTGTCAGCGCCACAAACACTCAGACCCATGAAGTGCAACCAACCACCAGAGTGTATACTGCCAGGAAATTCAACACAACCTACTTATGATTTTCCTTGTTTTTTTTTTTTTTGTTTGTTTCTTAAATCTCTCTACTTTTTACTTTTTTGTTGTTATGTTTAAGAATGTTGGGTCAAAACAATTATCTCCAGAACGTTACTAGTTTCTGTAATTAACGGTTGGTAGAGTGTTACAGATCTGGAGTTTCTCATGAAAGACAAGATGAAAGTCAAATTATAAAAGGATTCACTAGCTTTTTGGAAAACTCACAATATTAAGCCTAAAATTTTGCAGTTATTTCATTAAGAGAAATGTGGTTCTTCAAGTTGTTCTCCCTTTTCTTAGCAAAAGTCTTGTGTTTACAAAGCCTTGTGAAAAGATTTGAGTCAGAATTACTTAAGTACTCATGATGCAAAAAATATATGAAGATTGTTCACAATGGCGCCAAAAAAACAACTTTTCTGTCCTCCTTTGCCTAACCGATTGCACTTCCAGGTTCAGCATAGACACTCCTGGCTTCAGTGAATGTTAATTTAAATGTGTTGTAGTTAAGCAGAGCCAATGACTTTTTGCAGAAGAAGCTAATGTATACTGACTGGTTTGGGTTTATGCCAATACAACAGATCAATATCTTCAGGGTGACTGTGTGCTCTAACTGAGATTAATTTTTAAGCAATTCCACCATGTTGTTAGTTGGGGGTCTATTAAACAAGCTGTGTCTGTAAACAACTTGGGTCTTTAAAATCACTATGTCGCCTCAGAGTGGAAAATATCAAATGCAGTGATTTAAGAAGATTAGTTGTACATATTGAATTAAATTTCTGATTAATCAAAGACTTTTTTTCCTCGTTTATTTTTTGAACACATCAGTACATAAAATCTGACTTGCTTAATGCTCCTAAAGGTCACATGTGCCATTGTTTAACCAATCAGTAGAATCCTTGGGTGTGACTCGAGGTGAGTTTAAAGAAGGTTGGAAAGCTCATTATTTAATGAAATTGGAAATTAGGATTTAGTTAATTAAGCTAAAGTTCCGTTAACAATGCACACCATGAATTGAAATTTTATCAAAATAACCTCTTAAAACATAAAAAAGCCAAGTTTTAAAAAACTTAGCTTCTTTGTTCAGTAAAGAAGTAGCTTTTACGTCAATCTGTAACATACATATACAAAAATAGTTTTAAGATTTTGGCATAAATGTCAAAGTTGATGAGGTGTAAATTATTTTTCACGAATCACTATGAATACTTAACCATAAGAAACTTATCAACCGGAATTAGAATGTCCTATCTTGCCGTCGGAACATGAAGGCAGCACAGCAACACGTGTTGGAGCTTTCTGGAAGCAGACCCTCCTTTCTGTAGCTATCCGAGCCCGAGCAGCGCTAACTCCCTGCCGGCGAGACTTTTCAACTTTACTCGCTCGCTGTACTGCCCCACCATGGCTGCCGTTAAAGCGCTGAACCCTAAAGCCGAGGTGGCCAGAGCGCAGGCCGCCCTGGCGGTTAACATCAGTGCCGCCCGGGGTCTTCAGGACGTGCTGAGGAGCAATCTGGGACCGAAGGGAACCATGAAAATGTGCGTGCATCTGGGGCTCTTTGTGCGGTAGCTAGCTAGCTAACATTTGTTAGCTACCGGTAAACCGCTTAGACATAAGTTTGTTTCCTCACGACTCGAATCAATGGGTCTACTGAAAGCCTCTACTCTCTTGTAGAAAAAGCAAAAAACCACATATACGTTATTTTAACCAAGGCCTCACGTGTGTACCCGGGTAACGGGTTTCCTACTGCACGCTGCCCAGTCATCCGCGCGGACACTGCTAAGCTAATGTTAGCATCAGCCGGCTCGCTCTCCAAGCTCAGGCTAGCAGCTTAAATCGGTGCTTATAAAGTTTACTGGTGTTCATTTCAGCGCCATTAGATCACATTTAGCGCTTTGTTCTTTAATTACACGTTTTTAAAAACCCACCATATAATTGTGACTTCCGTCATTGACCCGACTGCACGTTTCTTTTCTTTATAATTTATTGTAGACACGACAGCATAAAACAAAGTCGTCTGTCATGTTAAATGTTTGTTTTGCTACTTGCAGGTTGGTATCTGGTGCAGGAGACATAAAGCTGACCAAAGATGGAAATGTCCTGTTACACGAGATGGTAAGGAAGTAAATGCTGTTTATTCTGCACGTCTAAACCTTCATCCACTTGGTGTTGATCAATCAAGTTTATTTGTATCGCACGTTTCAGCAGTTGAAACTGCTTTACATCATAAAAACACAAACATACAAAGTTAACAATTGAGAAAAGCAGTAAACATTTAAGTGTCAAAATTGCATTTTCATGTGTATTAATATGGCTCCTCTTAGAATAAACTGTTCCATACAACTAGGGGAGGACTCCTGTTCTGCTTCTGCGTCCTATTCAAATCAATGCAATACTTTAAACAATCCAAATGTAGTTTACAGGATCAAATTAATGTTGTAAATCTACTCATTAACATGCAACGATATAAAGCTTCACATCTTTAAAACACAAATTTCATCAAGTTATTGACTTTTAGTTCTCATTAGGGATAATCAAGCTATACTGCAGCTGTCATTTTGGGTTAACTTCCTAATACTAGTCCTGTTTCTAAATGAAAAGCACTTTGAGAAAAACTTGAAGGTTAATCAAATAAATAATGTGCACAGCGAACACCCAGGGATGCTACAGTGGCTCTCCCTGGTCTCCTGTGTCTGTGCTACAGTAACTCTGATTTGTACCTCTGCATCAGGATAGCCTCCTTCTGTCCTGCATGTATTCAGCGAATCAGAATAACCTTTACCTCTGTAACTATTTAGACTAATTTGCAAGACTTTTAAAAGATATGTTAATGCCAGCTGGAGTAAAAATAATTAAGATTTATTTTGGTGTTTATAAACTGAATAACTTTTTTTTTTGTCTGTTTCAAGCAAATTCAACACCCAACAGCGTCACTTATTGCTAAAGTAGCCACGGCGCAGGATGACATCACAGGGGACGGCACCACCTCCAACGTCCTCATCATTGGTGAGCTGCTGAAGCAGGCTGATCTCTACGTCTCAGAGGTAAACGTTCGATGGATGAGGAGACGATGTCCAAGTTCAACACCACAGCAAATGCAAAAATAACACAGAAAAACTGTTGAACAACTCAAAGCCACTTTTTTCTCGCTCTTTGTCTCAGCTACGTTACACAGAAACTCATTGCCAGTCACTGACAACAACACAACTTTACATGTCAGGCTTTACCAAACAAACACTCAAACATTTCCCACACAAAAAACAGCATTATGCATCTGTTTTTAGACTTCATGTATATTTTGCAATCACCACTGTGGTAAATTAGGTACTGATGCTATTAGCTAAGCTAACTCAGTGGTGGCTGACTAGCTAATTTAAACACCTGCTGTACGATCTGTTAGAGTTGGTGTTTATTTCGCCTTTTTTATTTTGTGACTGAACTGAAACACCAAATTCCACATCATTTCTACATGTTAAGGTTTTCATAGTCAAGCTAGCATAACTGAAATACTTTCCTCTCCTCTACTTTTTTCTTAAAAGTTTTTCCTGGCCTTGCTATCTAGTTGTCATAGTGTTGACAATTATTATCAAAGCATTGTGTCCCTTTTTGTTTTATATAGCAGGTATGTTTTATATAGTACTACTTTTATATTGATGACTTAACAGCTAAAACCAATGCTAACAGCTTTTTGCCCTCCAGGAGGAGTTGGGGGCAGAATCTACATTCTCTAAACCTTCCTAACTGTCAGCAAGGTCTTGATGAACACGTTTCTTAACTAATTTCCGGTTTGGTTCTGCAGGGCCTTCATCCAAGAATAATCGCTGAAGGCTTCGAGGCAGCCAAAGAGAAAGCCCTGGCTGTTCTGGAGGAAGTGAAAGTGACTCGGGAAATGGACAGAGAAACGCTCGTCAATGTCGCCCGGACTTCTCTGAGGACCAAGGTCCACACTGAGCTGGCAGACCTGCTTACTGAGGTGAGGCATTTAGATTGTGCTTCAATGAACCAGTTTGGTGATTTTCTGTCTATGTTGGAAATCTGTGAAACTATTAAATTTTAAGCGATTTCCACACATTCAAGTCTTGATGCAGCTTTGGTCCTCCTCATTTCTCCTTGTTTTACTTTTTATATTTAACTGATTGTGTAAATGACAAACTTTTAGTCCTCACTTTGTCACTGCTTTTACATAGAAGAGTGTTGTAGTTTCCACAAAATGTTTGCATTCATTTTACAACTGGGAAAAAATGTCAGACTGCGATCAAAATGAAAATGCTAATCTCCAGGTTTAAGTTTGCTCCAAACTAATTATTCACATGATTAAACATTAAAATGAAGTGAAATATTTTAAGAAATGCTGATCCAGCGTTTCTGTCCCCAGGCTGTGGTGGATGCTGTGCTCGCCATCTCCAAACCCAACGAACCCATCGACCTGTACATGGTCGAAATCATGGAGATGAAGCACAAGACTGAGAGCGACACACAGTCAGTTTTAACACAGAAACTTTTTTATTAGGCCTTCGCAGCGAAAGCGCTGAGAAATCTAAAACCCGATTCTGTTTTATTCCAGACTGATCAAAGGTTTGGTTCTGGATCACGGCGCCAGACATCCAGACATGAAGAAGAGGGTGGAGGACGCCTACGTTCTGACCTGCAACGTCTCTCTGGAGTACGAAAAAACGGAGGTCAACTCTGGCTTCTTCTACAAGAGCGCCGGGGAGCGGGAGAAGCTGGTGGCCGCAGAGAGGAAGTTCATCGAGGAGCGCGTGCAGAAGATCATCGCCCTGAAGAAGAAAGTCTGTCCCAGCGACGACAAAGGCTTCGTCGTCATCAACCAGAAGGTAGACGAGTTTTAACGCCATTAAATCGCAACATCATGGTGACGATGATGGTCTGCAGTCTGATGATGTTTATCCACTTAGAGTCCAAACTTTTTGCAACATTGACCAAAAAACCCAAAAACTATCAAATAAATTAGAGCAATATTTATTGTAGATGATGGCCATTGTAGATAGAAAAATAATGAGTACATTTCTGCCAAAAAATCAGAAATTTTGTGATTAATCTAAAAAAATTCCAGAAAACATTTGAGAAATAATGCAACAACAACAACAACAAAAAAAAAACACATTTTAAATTAAAAAATGTCCATATTTGATTTTTTTGAAGGAAGTTTCTGATATCTAAGAACTGTTTGTTGTTTTTTGTCTAGCAAAACTCCTGGCTTGTTTTTGTACAATTTTTTTTTACAATAATCAAAAACCCAAAAATTTAGTGCTAAATTTCAGAATATTTTTTTTGAAAGCTTGGAAAGATTTAGAAAATGTTTGACGTATTTTTTGTACAAAAAAATGTAATTTTTTGTACAAAAAAATGTAATTTTTTGTACAAAAAATGTAATTTTTTGTACAAAAAAAAATGTAATTTTTTGTACAAAAAAATGTAATTTTTTGTACAAAAAAATGTAAAATTTTTTGCCAAATTTACAAATAAATTACTTTTGTTTGCATTTTATTTTGTAAAAACAATTATTCTAAAAATTAGTTTTTTTTCCTAATAAATGCCCTTGTTTTTTCTAGAAATTTTAAGAGATTAGTCTCAAATTTCTGAGTTTTTAGACAGAAATTTACTTTAATTTGTATCATTCCTGAATTACATTTGGGGCCACAAATGGCCCCCGAGCCACACTTTGTCCCCCCTGACTCAGTGGGATTAAATGCGAACACCCAGGGACCTGGTTTGTTTCTGTGTAACTGACCTGAACCTCTACGTCAGGAGAGTCGCTCCTGTCCTGCTTGTACTCAGCGGATCAGAACAGAACCAAGGCATGAATTGGTTTAATTAACGAAGGTAAACGGGGCTCCTCTCTCTGCCTGCTCAGGGTATCGATCCGTTCTCCCTGGACGCTCTGGCCAAGGAGGGAATCGTCGCTCTGCGCAGAGCAAAGAGGAGGAACATGGAGAGGTAAGACTGTAAGAGGAATGCTTTCCTCACTAGAACAACTTCTGGCACTTTTACATAGTAAAGTTTTTTCCTGACATAATTAGTGATGGTTATCACCTTCACTCTGTGGGGCGTTTGAAGATCCTTACATGTTACAGAGTTCCTGAAAAACATGGAACTTGATTTTCCAATTTTCTAATTATGAACAGTTGTGTGAAAATTATCTTTCGTCATTTAGATCATAAAATTTACTAGTTTTTCTGAGCGAGAGTGTTTTTACGTGTCCACCATCTTAGATTTGAACTCAGTCCTCCTGCTGGTTTTAGGGAGAAAAATGCACCAATCTGCTTTTCTGATTTTCCACAAACTGTCCGTCTCTCTGTAAAAGTATTATGAATTTTAAAATAAGGCTGACTCAAGTTGATTTTTATCATTTGTTGAATTTACAGATAATAAAAACCCAAACCAGGTCTCTGTTTGACACTGAAAAGTTGAGAATGTTAATTACAGAGAAAAATTTGAGTGTCATGTTTGTATATTTAAAGTTTAAACCTTGGTTGTGTTTTTATTTTTCAGGCTCACTCTCGCCTGCGGCGGCATCGCTATGAACTCCGTGGATGACCTCACACCTGAGTGTTTGGGTAACGCCGGGCTGGTTTATGAACACACACTAGTGAGTACAACAAATTTATTCCTCCTCATTTAATCTTTTTAGAGAGATGTTTTACTGTTTTCGATCTGTTTCTGTTTGTAGGGGGAAGAGAAGTACACGTTCATTGAGAAGTGCGGGAACCCTCGGTCCGTCACGCTGCTGGTGAAAGGTCCGAACAAACACACCCTGACGCAGATCAAAGACGCCGTGAGGGACGGCCTGCGGGCCGTCAAGAACGCCATCGAAGACGGTAACAGACCAACAAACATAAAATAAGACATGTAGCTTTTAAATTTAGGCTTTTCCACTTGAACCAGTTACAACAGGAGAGTCAGAACGTTTGACCATTTTGGCCAAAATTTGTACTTTACATTTTTCTGTGCAATAAAGTTATTTTGGTAACAATTTTTACTCTGATTATAAATTAAAAATCTCATCTGCATCTACGGGTCAAATTTGTATCATTTTTGAATTGCAGTTTGAGACCCCTGACATACAGTTTGTCAAAAGTAGCTTTGGAGGCTCTTCAGTTTGCTGATATTAATTGTAATATTGATGTTTTAAAATACAAAACGAACAGCCTTTTGCACAGCGAACACCCAGGGACGTCATGGTGGCGCTTCCTGGTCTCCTCTGTCTGTGCCACAGTAACTCTGATCTTTTCCTCTGCATTAGGAGAGTTATGTCTCTCCTACATGTATTCAGCTGATCAGCACAGATTCCCTGACTTTAAACTCTATAGAATTGAGGCTTAATTTAAAATGTGTTCAGGTTGCGTTGTGTCCGGCGCCGGTGCGTTTGAAGTCGCTGTGGCGGACGCTCTGGTGAAACACAAGCCCAACGTGAAAGGCCGAGCCCAGCTGGGGGTCCAGGCCTTTGCAGATGCTCTTCTCGTCATCCCCAAGGTGACCCCCGTCGACCTTTCCTCTTAAAATGACATCATTTACTTGTCCTGTGTGAACACTGATGCACAATGTTAGTGTTTTAAGTGTTTACTCTTAGGTGAGCTGCTTGTTTTTATTTTTTAAGTTCATGCTGTATAAAGATTTATTTTTTATTCTTCTTTATTTGCAGGTTTTGGCCCAGAACTCAGGCTACGACTCTCAGGAGACTCTGCTGAAGTTGCAGACGGAGTATAAAGAATCTGGTCAGCTGGTCGGAGTCGACCTCAGCACCGGTAATCATCACATTGCTTTGTGTGCAGCTGTGCTCAGGATGAAGCTTGTTCTGACCTGAAATCCTTTGTTTTATTCTCAGGGGAGCCGATGGTGGCCGGGGAGGCCGGAGTTTGGGACAACTACAGTGTGAAAAAGCAGCTTCTCCATTCCTGGTGAGGATTCACTTCTAAGATGTCTCAATCCTGAACGAGTTTCCTCCGTCTCTAACGCATCTTTGTGTTTTACAGCACGGTGATCGCCAGCAACATCCTGCTGGTCGATGAGATCATGCGAGCCGGCCTGTCTTCTCTGAAAGGTTAAGCAAGAGCAGCAGCGTTTGTCCTCCAGTGATAGTCGTTTACCTGACGGTTCAGTCAACACCACCCAGCTCTCGGCACTCTGAAGCTCCCCAGTCGATGGCAAACCTGCGGCGGCCATCTTAGCATCAGAAATTATCGTTCACCTGCTCATGTTTTCATGATTTGTGCCCCTCTCTGGAACGATTGGTTTATTTATGCGATTTTTGTTAAAAAGCACTGATCTGCAGTTCTGTTTCTACCCATTAAAAAGTTCTTGGCTTGCAAGATTTGGTTGTTTCTTATTTTGAAACAAAATTTATTTAAAAATTAACTTTAAGGATACAAATAATCCACATCAAAAGAGGCGCTGACTGTTTCATAATGTGAGATTTAAAATAGTTTCATCAAATAAATACTAGATTAACTTATGCAACCAGATTGTGTCACATTGAAGGTAGAGCAGGATTTTAAGTTGATTCATCTTTATTGTATGTCATCATAAACTGATTATGTAATATTAGTGTATGGACTTTCATACAATATCAGAGTTTATATTTATGGTCCATAATTAAGATTTGGAACAAGATTTTTAAAAGTATTTATAAAATTAATAATTCTTTTAGTCATTTGTGCATCTTTACACCACTAATATTTTCTTTTTCTTTTCTATAATTAGTGAGATTCTAATGGCTGTTATTTTTTTTCTTATGCTAAGCGGAACCTTTGAACACGGAACGTTTCTTACGTCGCACAGGTTTTTTGGAGTCGCAGAAAAGAAAAAGGAACAAAATAAAATGCATGTTAGAACCGTTTTCTGGGCGTTTGCCGTTGTTTTCCTGCCAGAGTTCGGTAAGATCTCATCCTACAAAGTGCTGAATGAACAAACCTTTATCAGAGCGGGGCTGATTTCCTTGTGGCAGCCGCCGGGGAGATGGTGGACATCCCGGGAGGAAGGCTGGAGATGGGAACCAGAGCGGCGGACAGCAGGGACGGAGAGGCTCCGGTCAGGGAGGTGAAGCTGCTGCCCTTCAGATTAGACAAATATCCGGTCACCAATTCAGTTTTCAGGTAAAATACCAACAAACCAGACATTCAGCTGGACAACACATCTCCTTAATGCAGTGCTAAGTTAGTTATTTTGCTCTCAACAGAGACTTTGTGCGAGCAGTGAAGTATAAAACCGAGGCTGAGACGTTTGGATGGAGTTTTGTGTTTCAGGATTTTGTTCCAGATGAACTGAAGAGCAAAGTGACCCAGAGGATAGAGGTGAGAATGAAATCCAACCAGCGACACAAAAGCTGAGGTTTGCAAACTTTGCAGCTTCACTTGTTGTCTTTGGGGTGTCCAAAGTGAGGCCCGCGGGCCATCTGGAGCTCTCTGAATGATTTTTTTTGTGAACCCAGCTGAAAAATAAGAGTGGTACAAATTTAGCCTCAAAGACTTTTTCTTATGGGTAAATTCCCAGGTAAATTAATCAGTTAAAATAAAACTGTACAAATAAACTTCTCGTTACATTTGTAAATGTTTTATCTGCTCATAAATGCAGAAGGTGGATCAGATACTTTTTAAGTTAAGATCATTTTTAGTACAAGCTCAGCAACAAGAACAACATGGAATGAACTACTACTTTTGTTGCGGCATTTAAAAAACAAAATAAAATAAAAAGGGAAACCTAATGAGAGATATGTTGTGCAGTAGTTATCATTGTTTTATTTAAATTTTCCTTGAAAATGTTTCTCTAAAGGATAAAACGTCATGTCCATTTGCATTTGGTTTGCAGGCTGCATTCCAGAGTTGTGGTCTGGGGCCACACAGAATCATTCAGTGGGCTACAAATGGCCCCAGGACTGCACTTTGGACACCCCAGTTTTAAGATATTTTCATTTCTCTACTGTCTAGTCTGCCCCCTGGTGGCTGCCGATAGAACGAGCGTTTTGGAGACAGGTAAGTTTTACTTTATTCTTTCCCGCTGAGTGTATTCCTCAAGCCTCGCTCCTCCTTGCCTCTGCTCAGCCTGCAGGGCCCGGTTCAGGTATTCTGGAGCGTTTGGACTTCCCGGTGGTTCATGTGAGCTGGAATGATGCGCAGGAGTTCTGCAAGTGGAAAGGCCACAGACTGCCCACGGAGGAGGAGTGGGAGTGGGCGGCTCGAGGAGGACTGCAGGGTAAACGGCGCCGAACATCGACTCTCACAGAATAATAGACCCACATTTGATTGGTTAATCTGAACTGCAAGTCAATAAATAAAACATTATTAGTAGTTTCACATATGATGTTTAGTAAAATAATCAGACATTTAAATCTATATTTATTAACAGTTTTTTTTCAGATGGTGACATAAATAAATAATTTCTGTCAAGGAAGACAGTTACATCACACATAATAAATGTATTTTTTTTAACAGACGGAAACTTTTTTTTTTAATTTTAATAATTTTCTTATTTGTTCTTTTGGTCAATGGTTTGTGTGACCCAGGTCGGACGTATCCCTGGGGAAACAAGTTCCAGCCTAACAGGACCAACCTGTGGCAGGTCAGATTGTTTTCATTTATTTTTTAAATATAATCATTCATGCTAACTTCTGTGCAATTTTATGTTAACATGTAAGCCTGCTACAATAAACAATAAATAAATAAATTGCATAATGAATTAAAATGAATGTAAATATTGTCAGAGATGCTCCTCCTCACTATTGTTGGTATGAAGTTCTGCACTGCCTGCCTCTGTTGCCTGTTTTCCTTGTCTAAGCTGAATGGTTGTTAAATTTTTGTGATACAATTTTGTTTACAGAGATTTCATAATTAATTATTGTTGTATTTGGATGTCTAAAATGTTTCTCGGTACCACTGCTAAATGTTTTTATTTTTACTCTTGAAAATGGTCTCAAAATGACAATTTTGTCATTTATCGCAACAATTTCTTCGACAATTTATTATTTAGGAAAATTTGTTGTCATTTACAGTATTGTCTCTTTAAAGCAAAACTGTTTCCTGATGTGTGTGTTTCAGGGACAGTTTCCAGACGGAGACACTGCTGAGGACGGATATCACGGCATCTCGTCTGTCGCTGCATTTCCTCCTCAGAACAGTTACGGTAATGGCGCCTTAGCTAACCTAAAATACAAAAACCAAAAGTATTTTTATAATTACAGCCAAAAAAGTAAGTTCAATAAGTATCTAGTTTTGCGTTGGCTGCTCCTGCAGGACTGTACGACATGATGGGAAACACGTGGGAGTGGACGTCCACACGCTTCCCGGCAGCTCAGCCCACCTACGTTTTACGCGGCGCCTCTTGGATCGACACAGTGGACGGCTCGGCCAATCACAAGGCTCGGATCACAACCAGGTGAGTTGGTTTTATTTTTATTCAATAACATTTTATTTGAAGAAGACTGACACAACACCTCTCATAAACATGATGGAGGTTTTGTAAATGTGGTGCAATTCAGTAAATAATGTCACTTTTAATGCAAAGTTTACATTTTTAATAAACTTTTAATGTAACTTTACATTGAAAATGTCTTTATTTACCAAATGACTCTTCCTGACAACAGTTGTAAACATTTATGAAGCTCCATGTTTATGGCTGTTGTCATAAATAATGACACTTTCAAAGAATTTAATAGACTTTTTTAATAGACTTTTAACTAAACTTTTTGAGCAATTTTGCATTAAAAATGTCATTGCACTTCCTGACAACAGTCGTAAACATCTATGAAGGGTGTTATGTCAGTCTGATGTGTCTTTGGGAGGCAGGAGGAAAACAGCTCTGACTGTGATGCTTCAGGCCAGATGGTTCTGGTTGTGTGTTTCAGGATGGGAAACACCCCAGACTCCGCCTCCGATAACCTGAGCTTCAGGTGTGCAGCCAGTTTGGGACAGAAAGACAAAGCTGAACTATAGCAACAAGCTGTTTATTTTTCATTATTTTGAGTCACAGTAAATGGAAGGAAATGATTTAAATTCAGGGCTCTGACAGGGAGGAATTGGATTTCTTTTCACTGCTTTTGGAAGAAGTCCAGTTGTTTTTGTGTCGAAGCACCGAGGGCCACCATGACGGGGGCCCAGGAAGTCTGAACACTTGTGAAGCAACTATATTCTCTCCTATGGAGAAACTTCTTTCTACACTCAATTTCAACAAATAAACACTTAAGAAATAAAACTCACTGCTTCTAATTGAGTTTGTTTGCAACATAGAAACATCTTATCTCCTGAGTCAAAAACATGAACTTAATTAATTCCCTGAATAACAGAAAGGGGACTCTTCCTCTTCACGCTGAGATCTCTCTTTGTTGAGTTATTTACGTGAGAAGAGACCAAATCAGGGCTTTAGTTTAGTCACAGAAACCCAAACCTCTTCATTGGCTCCTTCCTCACTTTCTCGTGGGAATTGACTCATTTTGAGAAGTTTGGTCTTGGTTTAAGTATCAAGTCTCTGTTTGAAGTCACTGTGGAGGGAAATGTGATTTATTTTTCATTAGACAAGGCAAGCAGGATAAAAGCTGATTATGTAAACACTTGTTAATCCCAGAAAAGCAATCGAGGAAATTTGCCAATCGTGCCGCCGGTAAACGAAGCAGCCAGCATGTTGCATGTAACAGGGTGAGTCTGCACCTCCACAGTTCCTGACTGAAACTCGTCTGCAGAGTTTCTGCTAAATGGAGCCGCAGACATTTATCTGCATGTGAAACCACCTGCCCTAGATTCAGGTTTTCATGTTCATTAGTGGGGATGCGTTGAAAGTTAAACTCTGGTTTTAATGCAGAAAGTAAACATGCTTGATTAGATCTTTGTCTTAAAAAAATCTTTAGCTTCTCCAAAACAAATCCACTGACCCAATAACCCAAATAACTTGATCCGTCTCATTAGTTTCCAAACACCAATTAATCGGTTTGAACGTCAAGACAATTTGTGGTTTTATGTCCTAATCAGCTGCTAGGCAACCAGGTGTTTCGCCTCCTCCCACCTTCAGTTAAACTGATGGAAACCAGTTGAATCCTCGTTTCACTGGAGCGGAGGTGGAGCCCGATGTTTCATCTTTAAGGTGTCGATGTTGTGGTCGGGTTTCTCTCTCTCAGAGCAGAAACGGGTCTGTTGTCTGTTTCGACACGGAGCAGCAAATAAATACCTGAAGGAGAGGAGAACGCAATATTCTTCATCCTTCTGAGTCACTGCTCACAAAGTTTGGCTGAGCTCATGAAAAGCATGCAAAGTTTGTTTTCTTTTATTGAAGATTGCGACTTGCAGCTGATCGATTTCTCTAAAAGTTTGAATATTATGGGGGATTTTAAAACAGACGTGTTTGTGTATGTTCTGTAGAGCCTGAGTTTTATTTTATTACTGCATCGGTGCACAGTGGCATGGAGACGACCCTCTGCATTGTTGGTCATCTATCAGTAAAGAGTGGACTTAGGTCAGGTGAAATTGATAAATTGGTTTTTTTGATTCAATTTTTAGAAAATCTGGATTTATTTTTTCAGTCTGAGTGATGTCATCACACTCCCGGCCGCCATCTTGTCTGATAAGCTGCTATACAGCTTCTATTTATTTGGAGTTTGGAGTCAGGTGAACTCTGCAATGAAATGTAAGAGTGTACATTTTAAAAAGTGAATCTAAAGTTGTAACGATACAAAATAACACCCATAGCAATAGAATAAAGCTGTAAAATTTGGAGAATGAAGTAGCAAATTTATGAAAACTCCAACACAAAACAATAATTATTCAAGCGTAATTTCTTCTGGCAAAATTACATCTTTATCCTGCTAATATTCTGACTTTATTCTTGAGTCATAATTAAATAAAAAGTCTTAAGATTAAAGCCACTTTTTGACAATATTGCCTGTCATTGGTAAATTATTTTTTAGAACATAAAGTGAGAAAAAATGGATTATAATCAGAAATAGAATATGACATAAAAAAAATCAGAAATTATATTTTTAAGCCCTGTCAGGGAAAGCAGGCAACACTTTTTCTCAGTTACTGAGGTCGAAAAATGAAATCAGCATCTTCATATAGCTTAAAGCATCAGAAAGCATAAAATAATCCAAAGTTTCCTAATAAAATAAAGAACTAAGACTTGACAAAATACAGTGAATCAACACAGAAAGGTGATTTAACATCCCAAATCATTACTCATCGTGGAAACTTCACAACAAGCCTCAAGTGGGTTCAGTTCCTTCCTACTTTGACTTTTATTTCCAAATAAAATTAAACTTATTCAAAAGTTTATATTATTATTCTTAATATAATTATTACTATACCTCCTCTTGTCTTTGCACACGTCTTCCTTCCACTCAACTTTTCTACATTCTGCCAGTGGGCCACCATCATCATTAGCAGTAAGCTTGAAGGGCTTACCCATATTTTTTTATTATTGGGCTGAATTTTGGATTTTCATTAGCTATAAGCGATTATTATCAAAATTATCAGATATAAACACATACTCTGTGTGAGTTTTTAAATAAATTGCAAAAATAAATAATATTTTAATGCCTTCATATGTAGTTTTAAACTAGTTTGGCTGTTAGAGGAGAAAACATTGGCAATCAAAAGATCAGAAGGAAATGTTTTCATTTCACACAGTTTTTTAGAAGCCACATCTTTGACCTGTGTCCTAATTTACCAAAATTAAAAACAGGCTAATACACTCAATTATCTGAATTGTGTGTTTAGTAAAAAGAAAGAAAACTTATGTTTTGAGATGAGAATAAAGCAGCCGCCACAGAAAGCATCAAAGTTCTGCGTTGGTTGTTGACTCATCTCTGCTGGAGTCTTGTCACCTAAAACCTCCATCCTCTATAAGTAATGACTATATCTGGTTTTTCCCCAAGAACTTTTCAGACTAAAAATAGACCAATGACTAATCGTGTGTGTTGGTTTATAAAAAGCATTTGTTTCCTTTGAGTAAGTTATTCCACTCAGTGTCTCTTTTATCAGTGTTTTTATCTGCATCACTGAAAAAACACAAAATCTTACCAAGTATTTTTGTCTCGTTTCTAACGCAAATATCTTAGTACACTTGAAATAAGACAAAACTAAGTCAAAAGTAGCTTTTTAGTAAGATATGGAAACTATTTTAAGTCAGAAACGTCTTAATATTTTTTGAAAAATCACCTTTTTTTTTGCAAATTGTTTCACTTATACGATGGGAAAAATGTATTGTTATAAGAGAATTTATCCTCCAATGTAACCAGCACTTTTCATCAATATTAAGGAATTATTTACTTAAAATGAGCTGAAAAGTTACTTGTATGTTTACGTGAACTAAGATATTTGCTGTAGAAACCGGAGCAAACACACTTTGCAGGATTCAGTGTTTTTGCAGTGATGTTTGGCTCCAGCAGCAGTCAGGTGTCCTGCGTCAGGATTACATGATTTCATTGTGTTAAGCATCAGAAGCCGCGCCCTCTCCGCTTCTCTGCTGCTTTGGTATGTCTCTGCGTCACGAGTTTGTGTAGCAATCGAAAAGAGGAAGAAAGCCCAGACAGGCTGCGTGAAGCCACAGCCTCCTGTGATGTCACATCATGTCATGTTAGATCCTGTAACGACGCGCGGCGATCAGGTAGGTCTGGTTCAGTCACATTCTGACCGCCTTGCTCTCTCCTTCCTCCCTCCTCCCGGCGTTAAAGTCTTTGTTTTCCACCTGTTGCAGCTCTTCCTCAGACGGTCTTCCTCAGACGGTATTTCTTAGACACTCTTTCTCAGACAGTCTTCCTCAGACGGTCTTTCTTAGACGGTCTTTCTTAGACAGTCTTCCTCAGACGGTCTTTCTTAGACAGTCTTCCTCAGACGGTCTTCCTCTCTCGGAGTCGTCATGGATTACTCCAAACCGTTCTCGGAGCTCAACGAGCGGCTGAGGCCTCGGCTGGCCTCCAGCGACCTGCTTCACTCCTCCCTGTGCAGACTGGAGGAGAGGAAACCCACATCATACACACCGACGGTCCTCCCGTCAGAACCAGAACCACAGATGGACCCGGAGGAACCAGAAGAGCATCTGATCCGCAGCAGTACCGACGAGGGGCTTTGCTCTGATATGATGCCTTTCATCAACTCCTGCTTCAACTTTGAGCTGAACGTGAAAGACGAGGATGAGGCCAGCGACAGCCGCAGCATCACTCAGTCCGAGGAGACGGACAGTCCAAGCGAGCTGCCGTCAGAAGATTCGATGGACTCCTTAAAGGCTGGAGCCGGGCCCGGTCCGGGAGATAGCCCCTTCCAGAGGTTCTATGGTGACAAAACCTTACCGGACCTGATCAGCACCGGCAGGCCGCTCGGCAGGCGCAGGACGCTGACACACGTCTCCGACACGGTGAGTCTCACCGCGGGTTCAGACTCATCCTCATTTATAGCTTTAGTTTGTTTGTGTGATTTGAAATACGCTAAATTTCTTTTTATCAATCAATCATGTTTATTTGTATATTTCAGCAGCAAAATTACAAAGAATTCACCATAAAATCGACAGTTGATCAAACATTATGAACACTGCAAAAACACAAAATCTTACCAGGTTTTTCTGGTCGAGTTTCTATTGCAAATATCTTATTATACTTTAAATAAGACAAACTAACTTAGAAGTAACTTTTCAGCAAGAAATAGAAGCTTATTTAAGTCAATTATTTTTTAATATTGATGACAAAGTACTAGCTCCACTGGCAGATTATTTCACTTAAAATATCTTGTTATACATGAAATAATCTTCTATAATTAGTACTTTTTAATCATTATTAAGGAATAATTTGCTTAAACCAAGCTCTTGTATATTGCTGAAAAGTTATTTTCATCTGATGTTAAATGTACTAAGATATTTGCAGTAGAAACTAGACAAAAATACTCATTAATATTTTTGCAGTGTAGACACTGAAATAAACTCAGATTGACCTCTGACCTGCACCTCTTCAATTAAGACTCAAGACATTTATGTTAAGGCTCAGTAGTTTTGTTTTAAATGATCTTTTAACTTTATTCTACTATCTGTTGTGTTTTATTGCTTGTTTAATCTTATTTCACCCACAAATAAATGTACTATAATAATAATTATGGTTAATATTTCCAAGGGATACTTGCTGCTGCAGCCCTTTAATATTTTCAGGAGTTACATAAAATATTTAGAAAGTGAAAACAGATGCTGCAGTAAATATGATTTGATCTTTGCTTACAGGTTTCTAGAGGTAAACCTGTAAAAAACATTTCTGTTAAAAAAACTGTTTTGTCCTTTATAAATATATTTGCATAATGGTGTGTCTTCAGTGTATTACGGTACCAGTTTTTGTTTATGAGCCAGTACAATTGCATAGTTTCACTCAGAAACTCGGGGATGTAAGTTTCTGTTTACATAGTTAAAATGTCATGAAGTTGGATTTTTTTTCGTCCTCCTGGACAGTAAGTACCTGCATGCCTCGCTAACATGCTTAAACTGAGTGTCGTTTCGTTGCTTGACAGCTAAAAGAAGTCCGCAGGGAAGTGGAGCTGTCGCGCAGGAGGAGCATCAAGCTAAAGGCTCAGGTGGACAAACTGCAGGGAAGCACCGACGGACCGGGCTGGAGCCAGAACCGAGAGAGGGTGAGGCTCATGACCAGAGCCGGGACATTCCTCCGCAAAGCTCTTTATAACATCAGTTTGATCTTTATTGCAGGTCACAGACGAGGTTCTGTCGGTCGTAAGGCTGCTGCAGCCGCTGATAGCGTCAGAATCCGGCCGAACCGAGCCGCGAGGCGGGGAGAGCCGCCTGGACTCTGCCCTAGCGGAGCTGAAGAATGTGGCACGACAGCTGGCAATCAGCCATACCAAGCATGTGAGAACCACACCCTGCCTTGAACTTGTTCACTCTCCATGTATTCATTCATTCTTCTTAAAGGTTTCCATCATCAGGGTCGGGTTTTAAGCAATGTTTAAATTTACCAACAATTATTGTCTTTTTGGAAGGAAAACTTCTAAGGACAATTTCACACAATTCTGATTTTTTTTTGTGAAATCCTATCCAGTTTTCTGCCTTGGTTGATCCCACTTCCAAATATGCCACATATCTGATCTCAAGAGTGAACATGCACAGTAGGGGGCGCAATAACGTCACACGGAGCCAGTATATTAACAATTTAATCCTCATTATTGTCCCCCAGGGCTGCAAGTACACCTCCTGCAGCAAACAGAAAGGGGCAGGACGGAGCATTTCCATACTGGAAATGGGATCATTGCACTCCGGAAGTGAAGGGGGCGCTATTTCCCATATTATCTCCAGCCTCGTGTTTTTATTTTCTTTTGAAATCTGTGATATATCTTCACCTTCAGGAAGGATTTTTACTCTCACCATGTATTTGAACTTCTCTCTTTTATTTACTTCTAAATCATTTTGTATATTTTTTAAAACATCAATGGTAGAACAAACAGAATAAAAAAATAGGAGGTCAGAAGAAATTTTTGTAAAAAAACCCCAAAACAACCACAAAGCATCTTTGGCTCTTATTCCTTTAAACAAGTTATTAAGACCCAACTGAGCCACTTCGGCAGGGCATCAAAATCGTCCTCAAAATTTCCCCTGAAGCTTCTTCTGTTATTTGAGATGTGGTGAAGCTTTGTTCCCTGAAATCGCTGAGATGTGGACTCCACCCCGGGGCTTAAGCTCAGCCATGTGGTCTGACAAGTTTACGTCTGAAAGTATCTGAGGTTCTTGTTGCTCTGCGTCAATTATTGAAGAGAAAGTCATAAACTGGGTTTTGATTTTACTCCAAACCAGTGATGCAAGTTGTCGACAATCTAAAGTTAAGTGCTCTTATCAATCAACTAACAAATAACTGATAAGAGGCCATTTTCTTAGAAACCCAGTTTTCTCTTTTTTGTCAAGAGTTGATTGTCTTTCTTTGATGCCGTTTTATTTAGGAAAAGCAGATTTATGACAAAAATCTCAGAAATGATTTAGAATGAACCAGGACATGTCTGAGATAAAACAGAAATTTTGAGTGAAATCTCAGGAATTTTCTAGATTAAACATATTGTAGATATTTTCAAAGTTGAAAATATTTGCCTTTAGAAACTCAGTTATTTCCCTGTTTTTTATTTTTTAGAAAATTTCTGAGATTAATCTCAAAATTGTTGAGATTTTTCTTGTAATTTTTAGATTTTTGTAGCTAAGAAAATTCCTTGTTTGTTCTGGAAAATGTTGAATCTGTTCTGGCTGTAATGTGCTCTTTTTGTTTCTGTTTTCGTATTCACAATGATTCTTATATGTTGTCATAAAGTGTTGCCATGTGATCTATGCATGTTGTGTCACACATTGTTGATGTCGGATGTGTGAACCGCAGGAGGAGTAGATGCAGGGAACTGCAACTAATTCAAATAAGAAACAAATAACTTAAACTGAACTGAGTTTATAATTTATGGTTGATTTATAGTTTATGGTTGATTCTCCATCCAGGATTCAAAACCTGGAGCAAGTGGAGCAGAGGAGAGCGCTGTCCTGCAGCAGGCTCTGAGGGACAGAGACGACGCCATAGAGAAGTGAGTTCTCACACAACGTGTCGCACTACTTTTCTTTGTTTTTCCACAAATCAAGACTTCAGGCAAAAAAGGGAAGCTGAAAGCCGTAAATCTATTCTAAGGAGTGATTCATTTCTTCTGTTTTTGCTGCACAGGAAGAAGGCGATGGAGGGCGAGGTGCTGCGGAGTAAGAACGAGATGATGGCGCTGAACAACCAGCTGCTGGAGGCGGCACAGAAACGTCTGGAGCTGTCGCTGGAGCTGGAGGCCTGGAAGGTAAACCAATGTGCAGCAGAAGTAGAGGAAGGGTGTGTTCTTTGGGTAAACACAGAACTAAAGTCAACAGAGAGTAAAACGTGAAACTCACCAAGAAAAGCCTGGAAATGTTGAACAGAAACAAAATGACGTAGAAGATTTTAACAAAGGCCAGGTCAGGAGATAAATGACGCAGGCAGAAACTCCACTTAAAACTAATTTACATTGCAATGAGCATCTGAAGCTCATTAGCAGCAGCTGGTATTTTGCCTCAGGGTTTTGTTCTCCCTGTTTGCGCTGAGCTTCCTGCACCATGTAGTGAAAACACACAGCACAGATCTGAGTCCACAGCTCCAGAAAATCCATACCAACAGATATTTTATGAACAGCTATTGTATGAAACTAGTTATGGATTAATTTTTAATTCCAAATAATGATATGAAGTAATTACAACAAGACTTTTTAGCAAGACTCTGAGATGCGTTTCCAGCTGATGGGACAGTATGGAGCTAAACTGAGGCCATAAAGTTTGTTCAAAAGAAAAAAAAATCTGAAATTGACAAAAAATGTTGAAGTAGTTTAACATTTTTCAGTTTAAAATCTTTTTTTCTTCAGTGTCAAACTTTGTGTTTCAAAACTTTTCAGTTTGAATTTTTGTTGTTGTTTTGAACAAACTTTATGGCTCTAAAATAGTTCCATAGCGTAGCTATTAAACCCTTTTTGGTTTTGTCATGTTACAACTCAAACCTTTTGTGCTTTTTATGGAATGGATCAAAACAAAGCAGACAACAAATCATGTCTTTATGGGGGCCAATTATTTAAAAAGGGCTTATTAAAAAGATAGATTTGCTTCGACTCTAAACTTCTCTTTTTGCTCTTCGAGGCGTAAAACATTTACAACTTTGTCCATTTTTCTAATATCAGTGAGTCAATCTGCTGCTGGACCAGTTTAACATTCATGCAGGCTGTGTTTCAATTCACCAACATCCTCCCTAAACACTTTGAATAATCCAGGTTTAATGCTATAAATGTGTAAAAATGTTCCTTTCAATTCTTTTTTATCAACATGAGTAACATGAGAATCTTGACATGATAAGTTTTCATTCATCTTCTGCATGGCAGTTTGAGAAGAATATGTTTAGTCACTGTTTTTCATGAAGGTGTGTCTGAGAACACCCAGTTAGTTATTCATTCACCAAAGAGAACAGCATTATCATTTGTTATTGATTATTGCCTTTACACTCATGCACTGAAAAAATATTTAACATAAAAAAACATTAAATGAGAAGATCATCAATTTATATTTCACCTTCAAAAGCAAGATAGACAACAGAAAGTATAATTTTAATAAAATGTACCCCTCACAGAAAAACTACATCAGTATGGGATTATGATATTCATTAGTAATTTAACATGGAAAACTTGAAAGCAAAGTGTTTTTCACTGTCTTGACTTCGACAACCTAAACATGAAGCATGTGACTGTATTCATGTCTGTGGATGTGATGTGGAATCCGTTTCCCGTTAGTTTTACAGACGCAGACGACCGCTTGATACAAGAGGCTCTTAACTGTTTTTTCTCCCGGCTCTCCTCAGGAGGACTTTCAGCGTCTCCTCCAGCAGCAGGTGCTGAGCCAGCAGCTGGCGGAGCAGCAGGCCCAGAATAAGGCTTCTCGCAAGGGCCTCCTGCGGAGAAACAAGCAGCCTCCCATCCAGCGCCCGCTCAACTTCCTCTACACGTCACCTGCACCTCCCACCACCAACTCCAACCAGATCTTTGTGAACAAATCTGCCAGTTCTCCCCCTTTAACTCCCAGCATACCCGCCTCTCCGCTCGCTGCTGGTCCCAGCGGCGGGACGCGCACCTGGCGGGACAAGCTGAAGAAGAGCAGGCCTCGCCTCGGGCAGCAGGACGCAGCCGAGCAGGAGAGGGAGTGGGGCAGGGCAGACGACGGCTTCCAGGCGGTTTCACTCGACTGAAGCCGTCAGGACATTTAATAGACTGGATCTTTGTAAAGACTCATGAATTACAAACGTGCTGCTTATTGTTGGTTTGACTGGTCAGTGATGGGAGTCCAGAAAGACTCACATGAATCTGCTGAGCTTTTCGTTTTGATGTGACTCAGGTTGGAAGAGGAGACATTCTCCAGGAGTAGAGAAATATTTAGACAACAGTTTCTTATATTTAGACTCTATGGTTTCTTTTATTTACTCGATCTTGCTCTCGCTGCATATTGGGGTTCTTGAAGTGTTGTCAGCACAAACAAAATGAACTAATATGAAAAAAACAAGCACATATTTTTCTGCAGTCTTGTTTATCAAACAGTAAAGTAATATATGCACAACCAGTTACAACCTATTAGAAATGTGAACAACTTCTGATACTTTTTAGAGTTTTAGTTAATCTGAATTAATTTTTTTCCAACTCAAAATCACAAATCAACAAACCGTGTAAGCTACAAACTAGAGCGTTCAGGATGTTTTTCAGTCTTCGTTATTTATTGATGATGTAAGTGGAGAATCCGCCGTGTTGGTGTTTGTGAAAAACGGTTTTGCTATTATGACCATTTTATGGTTTCTGAATAAAAGGAACTGTTGTTCTTTTATTTTATTGACAAGAACTTTAACAAATGGGTATTTTATCAATAATGTAATTTTGATAAAAATTACAGAAATAATTAAAAATGCTTAAAAATACTTTCATACTTTGTGGTTCAAGCAATGAAAAGTGATATTTTTTGCTTGTCAAGTCCAATGAAATGACCGATTGTGACCCGTGTTTAAATAACTCAGAGCCACCTGGTGCTCAAATATAATATTTATTAGAAGATCACATTTCAGTGAAGCAACTATGAAAAGATTTGATAAATTATTGCTTATTGAAGCAAGTAAGTAGGAAATGAAAGACAAAAATCAGTTTTCATGAAACGGCTTCTAACATCGGCGCTTCTTCTGACTTCATTTAAAAAAAATAACGATGCTGAAAAGGACCAAGTCTTCCCTCTGCAATAGCATACACACTGAAGGGTGTTGTTAGCTTAAAGTATGGTGTGTTCACAGGCCAGAAGAGAGTCGGATTCCTAAGTGTCTGACTTTTCTGTCTAACTGAAGAAAAAAAATAAGAATAATTTTAATCTCCAGATAATTTTGTCAAAACCAAAAGTAAAGAGATTCAAGCAGCTTGATAATGAATTTTCTGTTGGAAAACATGTTGGATCTGTTGCTATTTATGTGCAAACCATCACTGAATACTGTAACATGTAAAGAACCTAAAAGTACAGTTACAACTTGGTGTAAATAAATACATTTTTACTGAAAAGCTCAACATTTTTACAGGTTTTAGACATTTTATTGTATAATATCTCCAGCAATTTAAATATATTTATATATAATCCACTTCTATATGGATCTAGTGAACATTTAAAATTGATATATTTCCATTATTTAGAGTAAGTGCCTCCACTGTGGGAACATGTTGAACAAACAAAGATGCACACAGCACAGAAAGGTAACAGCTGAAAAGGCATGCTCACGTCAGAGAATACAATCCCAACCAAATCATTACAGACTTCAAACACGTTGGCGGACAGCTCTCTTTTTAAATAGTTTTAAACTACAAAATCTGCATTCAAATGTCCCCCTGACAATCTCTTAAATTGTGCCACAACACAAATCCATCCTGCAGGAGGATTTAATCGTTGGGGTTTATAAAAATAATTTAAATCAGTATAATTTAATCTGAGTTTTTTTTTTAGTCTTTTTCTCTTTTCAAAACAAACATAAAACACTGATTGTAGTAAACATTTAGTGCTTTAAATGTTAATTCATACAGACCTGGCAACCCAGCTGCCAATCTAAAAGTCTACTGAACATCGTTATAGAATCTTATTAAAGTTTTACAGAAGCAAACGACCTCTTGACATAAGAGGCTCATACAAATAAATGAACAACACCCTGCTTATTCTCACATGTGGCAGTTTCACTACTGGAGCATTGACCCCGAGGAGACTGAAATTAAATCAAACCACTACGATTGGGAACCTACATACGTTGCTGCAGCATATATACTTTGTGATATACTCACTTAGCCTTGTGCCTTATTCATAAAGATAACTGGATACACGGGCAGTAAACGGGGAAACACTGACCAACTACAGACACAACGATGTCACCACGGCTTGTCGCCGGACACAAAGGAAAAACGAAGACCGAGCGTTTCGAGTCGCAGCCTGAGAGAATCAGGAAAGAGTTTGTGTTAATACTGCGTTGAAAAAGTTTCAGCTTGAATCCAGCAGATATTAAATATGTTGGCATAAAAATATAACCAGAGCTCTCAGAGGGGTTGTTTTTATAACAAATTAACCGACTAGCATCAAACATTCTCAATGAACCACAAAGTTACGTAACGGGCCAAAGTTTGGTCCAAAACCTCCTCAAATACAGTTTTTATTTTACCGCAGTGCTGCTTTAACTCACATCCACAAACACAGAAAACACTTCCTTCACAATCCTGACATAAATACAGCGGCTCTCGCAACTCTGCACATAACCTACTTATTTTGAATTTAATGCAACTTTTGTTTGATGTAACAATCAAGTATTAATATGTGAATCACTTTTTGACTGAATTTCAGCATTTAGTTTTCTATCAATTACAGTAAAACTGGTGAACCTGAAGTCAAGTTAAGCTCATTTCTATCCATTAGCCTAAAAAGATTCCTGTCTGAAGGCGACGTTAAGAGAAAAATACATATTATATGAAAAGCATGACACTAGGAAGACAGTCTGAAATAATCAGAACATTTTGCAATTCAAAAACAATTGATGCAAAGCTAAACGAGTTTATAAATCGGAAATGAAGGACTGGCAGAGGCAACGGACTGGGAGATTTCCACTATTCGCTGTTTCCTCTGTTTGTCTTGGACTTTAAAAAAAAGAAAAAAAGTGCATTTTATGAATGAAACTTTGGTTTAAAGAAATAAAAATTAATTTCAGGGCTACAATTTAATAAGATAGGTTGGCACAAAGCAGCACTAAAACTATGGTGAAACATGGCAGTGGCAGCATCATGGCATGGGGTTACTTCTCTTCATATTGAAGAAATTCTGAACATCAGTGAGTTTTGGGCTGTGGAGGATGTCAAATATGGTTAAGTCAAGACGGGAGGTTGCGACCAAAAGCTGAAATTAAATCAAAAAGTGCTTCAATTGTTTGACTTTCTCTGTAACCAATGTCCATTTGTGTCCCGATAAATGTTTAAAATGATTTATTACACTGCAAAAACAATATTTTACCAAGTATTTCGGTCTAGCTCCTACTGCAAAAATCATAGTTCAATTGAAATAAGACAAACTGACTTAGAAGTAACTTAGCAAGATATAGGAGTTTGTTTTGAGTCAATTATTTCATAACAACGATGAAAAATGTTAAGGAATATAATAAGATATTTTCCCCACAAGTAGAGGTCGTACTTTTTCCATCAATAATGAATTTTTTACTTAAAACAAGCCCAAACATACTTGGTCAGATTTTGTGTTTCTGCAGCGCATCCTTTCATGGCTTTCTAAATGAGGTGTGTAACTTTTGCGATCGACTGTATACGAACATAAAGACAGTGCAGTGCAAATGACAGTTTCTTTGGATTAGTACATTACCTCCAAAAACAACCCCATGATGTTAAACGGATCTATAAACAGGTCAACTGAAACGTATCTACAAGCTGGATAATCTTCAACCACTAAATTAAATCAAAATCCTCAACAGCAAAACCACTAATGGCTTTAAAAATAAGAACTGACTGCTGCAAAACAGAGCGGGTTTGGTCCTGTTATGGCGAATATTAGGATCGCAGTAGAAAGTCTGCAGGCGCGGCCGCAGGCGGCTAAGACTGGAGGAAGGAGATGATGGAGCTGATGAAGTCCAGAGGCTTGTCAGCGTGAATCCAGTGGCTCGCGTCTGGGATGTACTGGATGTCGGCGTTGGGGAACAACCTTTGGATCTCTGGGTAATCGTCGGAGCTGAAAGGAAAGTAAATAAGGAGCAATCAGTTTGACTAACAACTTCAGTTTCACACTATTTAAAGTTTAGCAAAGTTAAAGTGTTACAGTTTCAAAACTACAAAAATGTTCATTTATGAGTGTAAATAAACCCAAATTAAGCTCCTTATTTGTTTGTATCCCCTTTATTGTTACTACTTTGTTTTATTAATATAATCTATGATTGATTTTATTGATTTGATGCTTTTATTTTGATAGGGCAACTTCTGCCATATTTATTATCACAGTTTAACAGTGTTGTTCTTAACAGCCCCCACTGATAGAGCCACAAGATATTTTGTAAAATGTTTATACAACCATTTAAAAAATACATATTTTTAATTTTAAATTGATCATTTTGTTTTTACTTTTATGGCTTTTGTTAGTTTGTAATCAGATATAGTAGCAAAAGGATTATCTTGAATAAATTAAAATGAGAAATTAGCTAAATTGATCAAAGTTTGTAAATGCAGAACAGATTTCTCCAACTGCTGTGCAATAAAAACTTCTCTAATAACGAACCAGAGCAACATGCGAACACCATGTTACGACAGCATAAAATCAAATGTCTCTTTTCAAGCCTCATCGTCGTCTGAATGTTTCTGTGATGTTTTCTACCTGATGTAAGCAGAACTGGCTCCGCCCAGAAACAGCGTTGGCCCCTCGTAGACGGTGTCCAGTTTGGGGAAACTCATGATTTCCTCCAGGTGAGCTGCGATGGCCTCCAGGTTGACCCTCCAGGCGTAATGTCCGTTCTCCTCCACCAGGTTGGTCAGCAGGAACTGACGCACAGAGTGCTCCTGTTCAGGAACAAAGGGAGGAAGTTACGTTTTATTGTGAGAGGGGACAAAATAAAGACTTTTACTCACTCAGATTCAGCCTTTCTTAGACTTGTTTTGAAAGAACATCCTGTTCTAATGACTTAAAATAAATTTATTTAGTCGACCCCAAAAGAAGCTGAGAACTAGATTTCTTTCTTTTAAGGAAGAAAATGCAAAATCTACGACGGTGTACGAGAGAAACCTCTGACCTTTGGAAAGTAATCTCAGACATTTTCTAGAAAAAACAAAACATCATTTACTGGGAACAAAAATTAGATTTTTAGATTAGTATCAGACATTTTCTACAAAATAACTCTAGGCAAAAGAATTGAATTGAACATTGAAAATTTTATTTTGAATTTTTTTTTGAGAAAATGTCCAAGTTTTCTAAAATAAGATTAATCACAAAGCTCTAGATCTCCCACAATACAAGTTTTGCATTCTTTATGTATCTTGTATGCAGATGAAAACTAATAAACAAATATTGACTGCACAAAATAGTAATAAATAACGGTATGGTTGTCGCTTAACTGCACGTCTAATTAAAGATTTTCCTCAATAATAAAATTCTGAAGTTCATCAACTAACACAAAACAAGGTTTTAAAAAAGCAACTGGACTTCAGTTCTTGCATTAAGTTGCTTTGTTTTTAAACCTCTCTCGGTTTTTCCTTCATCGGAGTGAAACTTACCTGTGACTCGTGTAACCTGCCTGACTCTCCCTCTCTCTCTGCCTCCAGCTCTGTTTCCTGCTCGTTTGCCTAACAACAGCATGACGAAATAACTTCATAAAAACTTCAGACATTTGTGTTCTGGAAGACGTTAATCGCTTCCCTTTCAAAATACAAATTTCTTCTTACATACTTGCCCTCTTCCTGCACTGAAAAATGATCAGATTTTACTTTTTACATTTTTTTCTGCTGCATTTACTGTCATGGCCGGCTAATAAGAAACACAAACACACCGCATGTTGCAAGCACAGTAGGAGGGAAGAAGCATAAATTCCTTAAATTGAAGTTATTACGCAAAGCAGTATTAAATTAACTGTATTAGTTAGTTTAAAGGGGGAGTATTATGTAAAATAAAATGTTGGGTAACACTTTATTTGAAGGGGTGTGAATGAGACTAACATGAATGTCATTAGGTTAATAATGCATAGAATACTCAATTTTGCATTATTGGGTATATAATCATATTTTAATGCAAAGTTTCATTAAAATTTGAGTTAAAAGTCAATTAAAAGTGTCGTTATTTGACAAATGACACTTCATAAACAGTCGTGAAGACCTTCATGCTTATGACAGCATCACGTCAGTTTTATGCAAACACCTTCAAATAAAGTGTTACCAAATGTTGTAAACCTCAAAAATTTTACAAAATAAATAAATAAACAAATACAGTGGTATTAAATAAATTAGAATATAGCAAAGCTTAAGCAGGTGTTAAACACTCTTATGAATGAAACAATAAATCTGCAGTTTTTCCAGGATTGTCGCCTGTGGGATGAACATGATCAATCCTGAACGCTGTTGGAGTGAAATGAAAGTAAAGAAGCGGCGGTTCTGACCTTCACTAAACTCCGCAGCTGATCCTCAGCCATCCGCCTGGCGGTGGAGCGAGGGATGTCGGTGGAGATCTTCATCTCCTGCATGGCCTGGATGTAGTAGCGGAAGTTGGTGCGCGTGGTGGTCTGGGCCGGGCTGATGTCCACCACCACCAGCCGCTCCACCAAACTGGGCTGCAAACAACAACAAGAAAGGCTGAGGCTGGCAGCTGTGGAGAAGCCTGTCGCGATTAAAATCAACTTTATCATTTCCATTCTGATGATTAATATTTGTTTAGACATTATAATCTATTTTATTTGTAGTTTTGTCGGTTGTGTCTTTAATTTATTCTTTTTGGTTCTCGTGTTTTATTCTAACGTGAATTGTTTGTTGCAAAACTCTAATTTATTGGTCTTTCAAAAGGAAAACTTGAATTATTTATAACATCGAAAATGGTCTCGAAACAACAATATTATTGTTTATCGCAAAAATTACTGGGACAAAATTTTTTATTGTGACAAGCCTGGCTGGGAGTGAAAACAAGAATTTCAGCTTTGAAGGACTTGATTAGAAGTTTAAAATAATAACGTCTAAGTTGTAGGAAGTGATTATCATAGTGAATAAATAAGTTAACAAGCAAATGAGTAACGTAAATGTAATTAAGAGATCAAGTCAGTAAAGTAGGTTAAGTAAGGAAAGGAATTAACTTCATTTATCACTGTTAACAAATTGAACTAAAAAATAGTTGTTTTTAAGAAACTTTAAAACAACTATGTTTCTAAATAAAAAGATGAAGATTAAAAGTGAAACCAGAATCAAACTGAAGGTCCAGGGCCCAAATCTGACCCGCCATGACGTCTATGTGGCCCAGAGGGACATGTTAATAGAAAGTTGAAAATAACCGTTGAATGCTGAAATAATATTTTATCAAAGAAATTAAAACAATTTTCAAGGGAAGAGAATTTGGGCCACAGAAAAAACAAAGTCAGAATTTCTTTTCAGAATTCTGACTTTTTTGTCTCAGAATATTATTCTGATTTTAGTCTTTTAAAATGAAAAGCCAGAATTGCGAGAAACAAAGTCAAAATTCTTAGAATGAAAAGTAAAAAGTCCGAGACAAAGGAATTCTGAGAAAAGTCAAAATTCTGAGAAAAATTCTCAGAATTCTGACCTTTGACTTCACACGACTAAAGCAAGGATTCTTGGACTTTTCCGTGGCCATTATCTTGTTCTGTTGTTTTCGCATGTATTCTGTAAATTACATGAATGTTTGGTTTTATTTAACTTTAAGAAGGACTTAAAGTTAAATAAGAGGTTTATTAAGGACATTCATAATCTAGATATGGCCCAAATTAAAAATGCCTCACAAGCTCACTGTAAGCTAAAACTGACCACACTGTTGGCAGATGTGATTCTGAAATGAGACGCCCCGGAAGTAATGATTAAAAAAAGAGATGCCAGGTAATTCAAGTGCTGTAACCCAAATTAAATATTCAATTTCATTTACATGTGAACTTTGCTGTGTCATTATGTCATGTTAAAAACGAGCCAGTGCCTGAATCCTCCCTGACCTAAAAGGTCGGTGTAGATGGCAGCGTCGCCTCGTCACACGCTGACCTTTAGGGGTCGCCCACCTGTGTCAGAGCGGTTGTCATGGCGGTCTTCCCGCCCATGCTGTGGCCGATGAGGACGCACTTCTCGATGTGCAGCTGGCCGAGGAGATGCTTCAAATCGGCGGCCATCGCTTCATAGGTCAGGTCCGGGGTGTGAGGGCTGTTACCGTGGTTACGGGCATCTACAGTCAACACCTGACTGGACAAAGGACAGGTAAGACACTTGGAATGGGGGAAAAGGAGGCAACAGAGCGAATTTTCTCAGCCCGGAAGCCCTGACGTCACAAGCAAAAGAGGTGTTGTGCCAAACGTGTTCAAGTTGAGCCAAGCAGGTGTCATTTATCAGCCGAGAGGCGTATCAAATGACAGCACACGTCCAATTTCTCTAAAAAGAGCTATTGACGAGCGGCTGAGGACAAACGCAAGCGCACAATGACGAACTGTTCCAGACGTAACAACAGACGGGTGTGAAGTCTTCATCAACGCGTTACCTTTCGGCCTGTGCGCTGCACCAAGGACTTGGCGATTGAGTGGAAGTTGGATTTACTGCCGAAGAGGCCGTGGAGAAACACCAGGGGAGTGCTCTCTCCCTTTCCGTCGAACACGTCATAACTCAAGCTGACAGGACTGAGGGGGAGAAAAACACATTCAAGTTGAGGAGGGTTGATAAATTATCAGTAGTCACAGATTTTGATGACAAAAACAATCTGAGTATCTAGAATGTGCCGTTTAAACAGAGCGCCACAAGATGTTATGCAATGCTATTTTCCAATAAATACATAATCTTTAAGTAAATCACTTTGCTTCCATCTGCTGGTGCAGCACAGATATTCACATCATTGACCTTTATTGTTAAAATTACTGTTGTGATGATCAAATAGCACAAGATCAGAGCATTTCTACATGACAGTGGCAAATTTATTTCAAAAGTTAAGGAAGTTATTACTAACCCAGCCTAATTTTCTTTTAATAATACAGATAGAACTCATGTTTTTGTCAAACATTCAGTGATAATAAATTATCTGCCTAGCTATGTGAAACCATATTATTTTTACTCAGTATCTCCCAGCATGTCTAACAGGAACCCTGCTGTCACTTAAAACAAATATCTCCAAGAATGCAACATAAAAAAATGTCAGTGCTGATTTTTTTTTAGTTCTAGTCTGTTTAAAAAGGAGCTACTCATATATATAAATATGGAATATTTATTTTATATATTTTCTTTCTACAACCAAGAGATAATTGATAAACGTCTAATATGAAAATCACTCAGATCATCCACAGGCCAAAACATGCAGATAAAGCAAGAATCTTAAAATGTACTCAAAATCTTTCAGATAAACGAACAAAATATAGATTATGGTTGTATTGATTTGTAAGGCACATATACTAAGAGTATGGAGGATAAAATTATAATGTTTACATTAAAAGTGTTTGAAATCCTGTAATGTAGCTGAGATGCTAACTTGGTGTTCATGTGGATTAGCGTTTAGATTTCAGGTCATATTTTCAGAAATTCTCATTTAATCCAGTTTTGCCACCAGCTTTAGATCTGAAGCTGCTTTATGAAAAACAAATTCTGCTTAAATTAGCTAAAATGTATGAATGATGTTTAAAACAGTTAAAGCTTTGAAGGCATCACAAGGTGACAGGCTACCGGTTCGATAAGGGAGCGGTTTTAATCCACAGCAACACCAACATCGCGCCATAATTTCCACTCAGAAACACGGCGGTACCAGAACCGAGCCAGGGCTGGTGGAGGACACCTGTTAGCCGGGAAGCTAGCGGGGATACCTGGACGAGCTGGCTGTCCGGACCGGGGTCGCCGCATCCACCTGTCCGACGAACAAACGGCAGGACGGCCGGATGCTCAGCAGTCCTCTGTGAACCAGGCGACACAAAGCAATCATGGCAGCATAGGTTCGGTTACTGAACGGTCCACAAACAACATGTGCCTCTGAGAGCGGCCGCAGTGACAGCACAGAGCCGGGGAGCGAGCATTCAGAGCGGCCCCGGAGGTCGACGCCAGAGAGAACACCCCCAGTCCGTCAACAGCTGATGGTGCGTGATGACGTAGGAGGGGGGACGTTTTACCCTGGGCTCAGTCTGTCAGGCACGGAGTTTGTTCCATTGAGATACATCGATGGTTTCTGCAGTTCAAATTCAGTTACATTTAACTGAATTTGAACTGCCTAGAGGCAGTTTAAATGTTGTTGTAAGTCATATTATTTGTCAAGCTTCTTTAAAGTATTGTTTGAAGAGGCTGATAGCTGTGAACAGGCAGGAGCTCCTGGAGCAGTCTGTATCACATCAAAATTGAAGACGCCTCTGACAGAGGTTGGTGTTTTACAATGAAAATCTCATGAATACGGAGCTCTGGGTGGTTGATTTAATCTAAAATCAGTCTGTCGTCCAGATGAATATGGAGGTATTTATACACTGAAAAAAAAATCTTACCAAGTGTTTATGTTCTTTTTAGTGAAAATATATCAGCACAATTGAAAGAAGACATAAATAATTACAAGTAACTTTTCTCCTGGTTTTAGAGAAACCAGAAATTCACCTCCAAATCCTGTATTGTGATCTCTGGGAAATCTACAAAAGGTTAAAACGCTGGTTAAATCAGCAGCTTGGACTCTCATCTTTGCTTTTCTCAATAGCTCAATAATTGTTGTTGTTAATTATAGTCATATTTTATATTGTAATCATATCTTTCATATATATTAAGTTTAGAAGTTATCGTTCCATTAAGATTTCTTATATAAAAATATATGTAGAATTAAATACAGCAAAATTATTCTGGGAAAGGTGGGAATTTATATCTTTGAAATGGAAAATGTCAATGAATCGTAGTTATAATTTGAATTGTTGATCTTAAGTTGAATTTATGTCATATTAAGAAGTCTTTAATTTTCTAAATATTTAAAAACTGCCTGGTTTTTCCATGACATTAGTTTACCATGGAGCCTGTTGGCGTATTTAAACCACTAGGTGACACTATAGTTTCATATTAATCTGCTGCACCAGAGCATGCGCCTCACTGGAAGAAGACAAAGATTGGAATTGCATTTTCACCTATTTTTCTGTATTCAGATTCATTTAATTCATCCGTGAAGCCTATTTGTTTATTCTGCAAGCCTGGTTGTCACATTAAGACCATAAAAAGCAAAGTGATCAGTCTAAAGTGACTGAGAGGGTGGCCTGTGCTGCTGCGACCAAACATTTGTTGCTATAGGAGACATGTCTTCAGGGATGGAGCATGCTGTGAATTGTCACCATGGGGATGATGTGGGCCTGAACAAGGTGTCAAATCTCACCGAGCGACGAAAAAGGAAGGACAACATCCTGCTTATTGCTCAAATATTTACTATTAAAGAGTTTCAAAGCAAAATAAATATTTTGTATTTACTATCTGTCTGATCAGTAGTAAATACAAACATTTTCCTGCATCTGAGTTAGCTTAGCAATCTAAATGCAATATGAATCCCTTCGAGTTAAGAAAAAGTCAGAATCACCTCCAGTAGGGATCGTTTTGATCAATGGGTATCAGGACCCTGCAAAGCCATTTTCTGTGATGCTAGATTTATTTATTTATTGTCATATTCATTAAAAACAGAAGATATTTAAATAAATCTTCTCTGCATTTGATCATATCCAGTTGTAAATCTTCTTTAACTCAACAAGCCTGAACTAGATATTTGTGTGCTGAATGGATTATTTAAAACCCAATTTAAGATTTATCAAACCTTTACTCTCGTACTGAAAGCACAGAAAGTGGAGCACTTCATATTGGCCTTAATGCCACCTTTAACAACAGGCTGATTGAATGTCAACTAAACTGTTCTGAAAAATCATTTCTGAAATCTTTATGGAAACCAAAACTTGGGGCTGAAATTTCATCTTGGTTTTCTGAACCCATCATTGCTTATTGTCTCGTCTTGTAAGTCGATCTTATGGTTTGATCTTATGGCAACTCATAAGTTAGTGCTTAATCTTTTTTTATAGCTTACAGGATGTATATCATTACTGTATGTATATATGTAGGCAGGATGTTAACTAATTAAGTCATAAAGTACAGTGCAAAACTGCATAAGAATATCTAACATGATCATGATTAGGATCAACTGCAGCTGAAAGCTCTGCCATAAAATCAAAGGTTATCAACAATCTAATGGAAAGGAAGCAACAAAAGATGGCTATCAGATACAGAGAGGCTGAAAAATTGTTCATAAACTGAGAAGCTTTCTACATTTTAACATGCCAAAAAACAACATGTCTGTGAAGGACAAGGGGGAAAATACTTAATGCATCTAAAACAAGCTGTCAAACTCACTTTCGTTTTGGGCCATGTCAAAAATCTGAATGTTCTTAAAGGGCCGGTTGTGGCAGAAAATATTGACAAAACCCATTAAACTGTCATTGTATCAATAAAAAGCTGTTCCTCCACGATTTTGCATTTTTTTTTTTGTGACTTCTGAAATCAAAATTGCACATTTTGTGGTGCCGTTTTAAAGTGTTATGACATTTGCACTATGATGTTAAATGTGACTGTTTATTACTTGCCGTATAAATTACAAACTACAAGTAAGGCTGTGGCAGCAGTTACTTAAAATCAATATTTTTTAACAATTTTAGAAAATTTGCAGCAAAATCAGAAAAAATATGAAGACTTGATGATTTTGTGGGAATTTTGCAGATTTCAATCGGGAGAGACTCAGATGAGAATGAAAGCGATTAGAAAAGTTAGTTAAGTCTTTGGCGCTCGGGCCCTGGCTAGGACATCAGCTGACGCGATAAGCTCGGATGAGCATTCCTGATGCTGATAGGAATGACATCCCCCCAAAAAGGGAGGCTGAGGCCGGGGCCGAGGCCGGAAGTGGGAAAGTAGAGAAAACGGGATGAGCTAAGCTAACTCAGGATTACAGGCTGGGACCATGTGAAGCTTTTAGATGAAGGCCAGTGAGGGGACACCACGGGGCGTAGAATGGCCTGTTGATTCATCTACCGGGAACTGGTAGATGAAGGCCAGCTAGGAACGAGGAGGGCGCAGGTTGCTGCTAGATAAGAGGCGGCAGAGGGCACGGCAGCGTGAGGGAAGATAAAATGCTGGTGGATGAAGGCCAGCTAGGGAAAGCCAGCTAATGAAAGCGATTAGAAAAGTTAATTAAGTCTTTGGCGCTCGGGCCCCGGCTAAGGACATCAGGCTGACGCGATAAGCTCGGATGAGCATTCCTGATGCTGATAGGAATGACGTCCCCCCCCAAAAAGGGAGGCTGAGGCCGGGGCCGAGGCCGGAAGTGGGAAAGTAGAGAAAACGGGATGAGCTAAGCTAACTCAGGATTACAGGCTGGGACCATGTGAAGCTTTTAGATGAAGGCCAGTGAGGGGACACCACGGGGCGTAGAATGGCCCGTTGATTCATCTGCCGGGAACTGGTAGATGAAGGCCAGCTAGGAACGAGGAGGGCGCAGGTTGCTGCTAGATAAAAGGCGGCAGAGGGCACGGCAGTGTGAGGGAAGATAAAATGCTGGTGGATGAAGGCCAGCTAGGGATGTTGCGCAGCTAGAAATGATAAAATGCTTGGAAGTAGAAGGCCAGCCGGGGACGTTACATGTGAGGGATGATAAAATGCTGGTAGATGAAGGCCAGCTGGGGATGTTGCGTGCGAGAGATGATGGGGAACTGGTAGATGAAGGCCAGCTGGGGATGTTGCATGCGAGGGATGATGGAGAGCTGGTAGATGAAGGCCGGCTGAGGATGTTGCGTGCGAGGGATGATGGAGAGCTGATAGATGAAGGCCAGCTGGGGATATTGCGTGCGAGGGATGATGGGGAACTGGTAGATGAAGGCCAGCTGGGGATGTTGCGAGCGAGGGGTGATGGAGAGCAGGTAGATGAAGGCCGGCTGGGGATGTTGCGTGCGAGGGATGATGGGGAGCTGGTAGATGAAGGCCAGCTGGGGATGTTGCGTGCGAGGGGTGATGGAGAGCAGGTAGATGAAGGCCGGCTGGGGATGTTGCGTGCGAGGGATGATGGGGAGCTGGTAGATGAAGGCCAGCTGGGGATGTTGCGTGCGAGGGATGATGGGGAGCTGGTAGATGAAGGCCAGCTGGGGATGTTGCGTGCGAGGATGATGGGAGCTGGTAGATGAAGGCCAGCTGGGGATGTTGCGTGCGAGGGATGATGGGGAGCTGGTAGATGAAGGCCAGCTGGGGATGTGCGTAGCGAGAAACGATAAAGTGCCAGAACGCTGAGAGATGAAGGTCAGCTGAGAACGCAGCAGAACAAAGGATGATAGAACGCTGGGAGATGAAGGACAGCAGAGAACGCAGCAGAACCAGAGATAATAGATCACTGGAAAATGAAGGCAATCCGAGAACGCGGCAGGACGAGGAATGATAGAACGCTGGTAAATGAAAGCCAGCCGAGAACACAGCAGAACGAGGATGAGAGAACGCTGGTAGATGAAGGCCAGCCGAGAATGCAGCAGGGCGAGGAATGAGAGAACGCTGGGAGATGAAGGCCAGCCGAGAACGCAGCAGAACGAGGGATGATGGAGAGCTGGTAGATGAAGGCCAGCTGGGGATGTTGCGTGCGAGGGATGATGGAGAGCTGGTAGATGAAGGCCAGCTGGGGATGTTGCGTGCGAGGGATGATGGGGAGCCGGTAGGTGAAGGCCAGCTGGGGATGTTGCGTAGCGAGGGATGATGGGGAGCTGGTAGATGAAGGTCAGCCGGGATGTGCGTAGCGAGAAATGATAAAGTGCCAGAACGCTGAGAGATGAAGGTCAGCTGAGAATGCAGCAGTACAAGGGATGATAGAACGCTGGGAGATGAAGGACAGCAGAGAATGCAGCAGAACCAGAGATAATAAATCACTGGAAAATGAAGGCAAGCCGAGAACGCGGCAGGACGAGGAATGAGAGAACGCTGGGAGATGAAGGCCAGCCGAGAACGCAGCAGAATGAGGGATGATGGAAAGCTGGTAGATGAAGGCCGGCCGAGAATGCAGCAGGCGAGGAATAGAGAACTGGGAGATGAAGGCCA